CACAAGATGTTGCAGCAGAACAGCACGAAATCATGCTTGGCTTTGTGATGGCTGCTACTTGCAACCAGGCACTACAGCGATTTCGGACAATCAGTTCTCCTGCCAAGACGCACACATATCACAGCTGCGTGCACGACTGCACACGAAACATGGGCCAGAGCCAGGACTCCGACAATGGGCCATACAGTTGACCCAAACACTGCACATCATCTCCCCAATACAACCCGAAAACACTTCCAAAATCCAGAAAATCCCTCATCGCCGATAACGCCTGCTCCCAATGCAGCGAGCGTGTTACTGCATGTGTATGTAGGGTTGTAGGGTTTAAGGTTTTTTCTTTGAATCGTCACGCTGATTTCAGCACTCCGGCTGAAAACTCTGCACTCCGACAACTCGTGCCTACCTTTGCACAGGTGCATTTTTTTAGGGCCGATAACAAAGACAATGATTTTTAGCGTCGTTGACGCCCAGGGTTTGTGTTGCAGGAGTGCCCCAGCCACTCCTTTTCTGCCATAGTCATCCTTGACAGCGTTTGCACTGTTGCGCACCGTGACACTCATAACCTAGAGTCGGCTCGCAATGCTGTTTTCGGGCTGTCTGATTACTCAGGCGGTGAGGTCTGGGTCCAGAATGCTCAGGGCAACACACCTTTGGAGGTCAATGGCCAGACGTTGCTTGGTGATGCTTTGCCAACGCTCCCTGGCCCCGCCGTCTTTTCCGCCCGCTGCAACTTGCATGCAACTTTGCCTTGGGCAGGTCGTCGCGTTGTGTTAGTGGCGTACACAACGAACTTCATTGACAAATTGCCGGACGCAGACTCTACACTTGCCTCACGCTTGGGTTTCAATGCGTGCCAGAGCTCAGCCCGCAGGCCGACCCGGCAACCCTTTGCGGTGGAGGTCTTCAGCGGCACCGCTGTTTTGTCTCGGGCCCTCTTCGCCGCTGGCTTTGCAACTCTGGCCGTCGATCACCGGCCTCGCGCCGCTCTTATGCCAACAGTGCGCTTGGATCTCGCTCAAGAGGCCCAGCAAGATCTGCTTATGGATCGTATCCGGGCAACCCCTCCTGATGCTGTGCATATCGCCCCGCCTTGCGGTACCGCCAGCCGAGCCCGAGAGCGCCCCCTGCCATCCGCGCTGCTGAAACAAGGAGTTCGAGAGCCCAAGCCCTTGCGATCCGCTCGGTATCCCTTGGGTTTGCCAAGCCTTGACAAGGCCTCCTCTCAATACCACCGTGTGCAGCAGGCAAACCTGCTCTACCTCTTCACTTTCAACTTGGTCTGCTGGGCGCTTGAGAATGCTGTGCCTTTCACGCTTGAAAATCCCGCCAACAGCCACTTCTGGGCCGTTTTTGCTTCGCTGGCTCGTGCCCGCCCTAAAGCCGCCTGGCATCGCTTCAGCCACAGAACCTTTCAGGTGGAGTTTGATCACTGCATGTATGGCGGTGCTCGGCCGAAAACTACGCGGTTGCTCACCAATTGCAAGCAGATGGCCGACTTGTGCGCCCGTTGCGATCGCTCTCATGATCACGCCCCTTGGGGGGCTCAGCGCGGGCCCCATGGCTGGGTCTTCGCCACTCACCTCGAGGCTGCCTATCCCGTCCAGCTTGCTGAAGCCTTGTCTGCGCGCTTCAGCGCCCAAGCTCAGGCCTCTGGCCTCTCCCTTTGCCCACGCCCGCTGGATGTGCAACATGCTGCCTACGCCGCCCAGGGGCTGCAGCATCGCAAGAGCCAGCCTCTCCTCTCCGAGTTTGCTGCCATCCAGCATGTGCCCAAGTCGGCCGTCGATGAATCCTGCATGAGGGTTCTCACGGCCCCAATGATTGGGGTGAAGACGGGGGGCCTGCCGAAACCCTCTGACCATGAGCCTTCGTGCAATGTCGAGAACCCAGGGCCCCCAAAGGGCAACCCTGTCCCCTCGCCTGCCTCTTCGGGTTTAGTCCCCAACCCCTTGTGTGAACCCCCGCGGCACGCAGGACCCGAGCCTGGTGCGGGGGCGGGGCTGGTTACCGTTGGGGTTTATCGTAGTCCCGAAAAGGAGGCCCTTAAGCTGCCGCATCCTATGGACTCGAACAACCCTCTGCCCGAAGCCACCCTGATGGCTATCAAGGAAAATCTTACTTCGGAGGCTAAAGTGCTTAAGCTTAAGCAAAAGATTGCCCTGACTAAGATGGAGATCCGGGCCAAGCAACTTGAATCGCAGGAGAGAGCACTGCATCAGTCAAAGCCACCTTGGATGCAAAAAGTCCTCAAAGGAAAGCGCATTCTGTTGCTGCGCGATCTGTTGTCGCAGCACGGCTTTGATGACATGGGGGTCGTGGACCTCGTTAGTGACGGGTCACATCTAGTGGGGTCCGCTCCGAAGCCCGAATGCTTCGAAACGCGCGTTAGGCTGGCAAAGCTCTCTCCCGAGGCCTTGAGAGCTGCAGCCCCGGACTTGCGGAAAGCCATCCTTGCAAATCCCAGGAAAGTCTCTGGGGACGAGGCGGCTGAGCTGCGGAAAGTCTCAGATGAAGAGACGGCTGAAGGTTTCCTCACGGGACCGTTCGAGTCCGAGGATGCAGTGTCCGACCACCTCGGGACCCAAGATTGGGTGGCTGTGAGGAGATTCCTCATTCAGCAATCCGACAAAAAGCGTCCCATTGATGACGGCCACGAGGCCCACCTCAACGATGCTTATGGGTCGGCCATCCGCTTGAGGCTCCAGGATAGTGCGTACTTTACGGCCATGGCACTGGCTGTTGCAAAGATGCAAAAGGACTTGGGCGTGCATGTTCCATGGAAGGTCAAATGCCTAGACTTGTCGAAGGCTTACAAACAATTTTGTGTAAGCGAGCGGGATAGGTGCCTTTCGGTTATAGTCATTTTCGACGAAAAAGGAAAGCCAACCTGGTATGTGGCGAACGCCTTAATGTTTGGTGCCGCTGCCAGCGTTTTTAGCTTCAACCGTATAAGTCGTGCCATACATTTCCTGTTCACCAAAGTCTTGAACGTGGTGTGCTCGTACTTCTACGATGACTACCCGATGTTGGCCCGCTCTGACATGGCAGAGGCAACTGATGAGGCGTGCGGCCGCATGCTGAATCTGCTTGGCATCCGATATGCCGAGACGGGGACTGGATCCAAAGGTTTGCCCTTCGATGCATCATGCAGTGTTCTGGGACTCAAAATGTCCGTGGAACATCTTCACTTGGGGAAGCTCTCGATTTCAAACAAACCGGGAAGAATAGAGCGGCTCGTGGAGTTGTTTGGCAAGGTCAAAGCCGAGGGATCGATGACAAAGCACTTTGGCCAGGTGTTGCTTGGACTTTTGCGTTTTGCTGCAGGCTCATGTGTGGGCATGTCGCTCAATCACGTTTGCGCTGACTTGAATCATGCTGAAGCTTTTCCCTCTCCCGAGGAGTTTGCAAAGCTTTGTGATCGGGCTTTGGATTTTCTTGGCAGTGCCCGTCCAAGGGAGGTGAAGGTGTCAGATCGAAAGGAGGTGGTTCACATCTTCACGGATGGATCTCTTGAAGGCGACTTCGCTGGCATAGGGGCCGTGATGATTGATTCGGCCGACGGCTTCACGCGTGTGTTGCAAGGCGAGCTCCCGCCTGAGCTCAGGAACGCATGGCGAAACGAGGCCAGCGAACACTTGATCTGCCAGGTCGAGTTATATGCGATTTTCTGTGCAAAACTTGTTTTCAGGGAACGTGTGGAGGGCAGGCGAGTTGTCTATTGGATAGACAATGAGCCTGCACGTCTGGCCCTTGTGAAGGGCGTGAGCAAATCTTGCATTATGCCTATTTTGAAACTTGTTTCATTCGGCTTTATAGCTCAAGCTATGTTTCAAATGCGACGTTGCTTTTGAAACTCGCTTTTCGCACACCTTCTTTGAACCTGGGGGGGCAAACAACTGACTTTTAACCTTTTGTTTTGCCGCGAACTCTCGTCCTGATGCGAACCTTGATGTTGATCCTGTTAATGACCTCACGTCCGGCAGTCATTTGTGGATCGAGTTCGCCATCGGCCATCGGGCGAGATTCGAAATTTTTGTAGCCATTTTGGCTCAAGTCATTTGTGGATCGAGTTCGCCATCGGGCGAGATTCGAAATTTTTGTGAGGCCCTCTAGAGGTTTGTATCTCTTTCTAAAGGGCTCTGTGGCTCCTGTAACCCGAGGTTTCCGCCCTTAGGGCTCGTGCAAGCTGGGCCCCTGAAGGGCCAGCGGATGTCGGACGGTGCTGCCTCTGACTCGGGTTCGGCCACCAGTTCAGTGGAGCTTATCAGCTCACATTTGCATCGCTTGCAGCTTGATCACAACAGCTTGCAGCATCGCTTTCTGCAGGCCATTGCACGCATTGAGGTCCTTGAGCAAGAGCAAGCCAGCCAGGCCTCCAGATTGCAGTGGCTGGAGCAGCTCGTCCAGCGAGCTCGGGCTTGCTTCTCGGGAGTGCTGTTTTCCGCTGGCGGGCCGCCTTCACTTCCTTCTGCCAATTGAGTTGGGGGTTGCAGTGTCATCATGAAGCGGTCGGCCGACCATGCATATGAGCAACATCTTGATGAGGTACTCCGAGGTCCTAAGAGCCGGTTTGTGCAGCCCTGGGAAAGGTCCCCCGTGCTTCAGCCTTTCAGGTTGTTTCCCCAGCTTCCCAGGCATCAGCAGGTGGCAGTTGCCACGCCGCCCGGCTCGTCGAACGGGCCAGCCACTCCACCCAAGGGTGCTGGCCAAAGTTCCATGTCACATGTCGGGCCCAAAGCAAAGACTCTTGGAAAGTCCTGGAAAGCCAAGATGTCTGACAACAGGCTTGCTGCGCTTGTAAAGTGGGAAAGGATTGTGGAAGCTCACTCCGAGCATTTTGGCTTTGTCGCCGAAGCCCGCCGTGAGCCTGAGCTGGCTTCGTACTCCTTGCATGATGTCTTGAGTGATATTTTCTCGGTGAAAGCCAGCACCACTTTGCACACCCGGTCAGGTCCCCTGCTTAGGTTCCTTAAGTTCTGTCACGACGAAAGGCAAGCCCCTTTCCCTCTTCGCGAGAGCTTGCTTTACTACTTCCTCAAGCAGTATGGTGCTAAGCAGGCCCCCACGTTTGCCAGCAGCTTTCTGGGGTCACTGGCGTTTTGCCACCACTTGTTGGGCCTTAAGTGCCAGGACGAGTTTTTCTCCACCAGGGTTACGGGTGCAGCCCGAGGCCTTTTCCTTGAAAAGAGAAAGCTTGTGCAGAAGCCCCCTCTTCTGGCTGCCTTCGTTCTTGCCTTGGAAAATATCGTTCTCGGACAGGGCGATTTCAGCTGGGCGGACAGGTACGCTGCCGGATGCTGCCTTTTTGCAATCTATGCCCGTGCGAGGTTCAGTGACATGCAGTCTTGTGGAAACATCTTTGAGGATATTGCCTACATTGATGGCAAGCCTCATGGATTCTTGCAAGCCGACATCACCAGGACGAAAACTGCATACACCTTGGAGAGAAAAACCAAGTACTTGGCAATGTGCGCTCCGATTTGGGGCTTGGCGGAGAAGCCGTGGGCAATCGCTTGGAGGGCTATCGCTAAGGACCACGGCCCCCCCTGCGGGGAAGACTTGCCACTGTTGCCCTCTCCTGTGGAGAGTGGGGGATGGCAGGAGACACCTGTCAGTGTTGAGGTTGGAGCCCGCTGGCTCCGCAGCCTCCTGCATCGCATGGGACTCGAACCTGCTTCCGCGGTTAGGCTTCTAGGGACCCACTCGATGAAAGCAACGGTTTTAAGCTGGGCTGCGAAGTGGGGCATGTCTAAGGAAATACGGATGATCTTGGGGTACCACAGCTCCTCTAGATCCGATAGCGACGTGGTCTACGGCAGAGACAACGTAGCCCCCGCGCTGCGAGAGCTAGTTTCTATGCTTCAGTCCATTGCCCAAGGTTCCTTCAGACCAGATGCCACTCGAAGCGGCATGTTCATATCGATTCCAGCTCCTGCGGAGTCCGGTGATGGAGATGATATATCTCTCTCTTCTGAAGGCAGCCAAGACGAGGAGAACAAGGACCCCGCCGCCGAGGACGAGGCCGTCGATTCAGTCGTGGGCCTTTGGGAGCCCTCGGAAGGGGTCCGTGAGACTCTTGAAAGGGCTCCTGTCTTCAGGCATGAGGTAACAAGGTTCCTTCACATTGTGGCGTCTGAGGAAGGGTCTCATTTCAAGTGCGGGAGAAAGATCTCAGCCTCTTATGTTCGCTGCGAGAACTTGCCGAAAGTTTTGTTTCCAGTATGCAAGCAGTGCTGTCCCGACGTGAAATCGGTCGAGGCGGGCACTGATGCGGGATAGTCTTTTGCTGTCGCAAGGGCGACACAACGAGGGGCGATTTTGTGTGCTTAAAGAGTTGGTTGCTCGCTTTCATGACGGTTCCAGTCTCTTTTACAGGAGGGGCGAGTGATTCAAGTTGAACAGTCCATGCTGAGGTCATTGCACATGCTTAGGCCTGGGCTTCTGCCTCCTTTGGAGACCTGGTAGAGTGCTTTGAGGGATCAGATGCGGGGGCAGGTACTCTTGTGAATGCTCCTTCGGAAATGTGTCTCAAGGCGCCAACTGGCGGAGGCAGCAACATGGCCGCTTCTTACTCAGATAGCCGTAGTGTTTTCGATGCCAGGGTAGACGCATGTGGACTGCCGAAGGAAGATGCTGCGAAGGTCAAAGCGGCGGTGGGTTCACTTCGGCAACTTGCCTTCATATCCAGCTTTACTCCGGGTCAAGCGGATGAGGCCCCACTTATGGCTGCTCTGAAGTCGATGTTGGGCCGTGATGCTGAATTGGCTGTCCAAGCTAGCTTCAGGGCATTGTACCACGAGGCTTATGCTATTGTTACTTCAGAGATGCGCCAAAGGATTGAGAAGAGTGAAGAGCCCACGGCGAGGAGGCTCACCCAGCCCGAGCGTGCCGAGAGGCATGAGAAGCAAGTCGCGAAGCTCGTGGGTGTACTTATCAAGGGCCCTTCGGAGCCCAGCGAAGCACTCGTCGACAAGGCCGTTTCAGCTTATGAGCAAAATGAGCTGAGGTACATCTCTTGGGAGTCTTGCACCTCCCGGGAGCAAGAAGTTGCTTCGGAACGCAAGAAGGATACTCGCTTTACGATCGATGAGCATTCCGGGAAGCTTAAAGTTGAGAATAAAGATGCTGAGGACAAGGCCTCCGCTGCTTCGGAGGTCCATGTGCTTCAGGCTTTGCAGAGGCGATCACTTGCCCTGGATCAGGCAAATCTTGTTGAGTACACCCTGATGCAACAGTGGTCGGACCGCCTGTTGCGAGCCAGGATGGACGATCCACCGCCCCAGTACAGCCGTCCGTCTTGGAGCCAGCTTGTGGCTGCAGACAAGAAGCTCTTCAGTGAGCTGAGGGATCTGACGCGAGACGGCGTTCAGTCATCAAGTGGAGGGGCGCGCCCGCTTGACAAGCACCTCCCTGCTGTGATTCAGGCTGTGATGATGTCGTATGATGTGGTCTGCTTGCTACAGCACAGTCGGCCAGCGGGCGGAGCTCCGATGATTCCGGCAAGGAGCGCCCCGCTCCCTACACTCCCAAGGGTCCTAGAAAGGGCGCTGGGAAAGGCAAAGAGGGCAAGGGAAAGGGACGCATGCCTGCACAGCTTATCGCTTGGGGCTGCACGTCGAGTACCAAGAAAGGAAATCCTTACTGTTATGGGTTTCAGCTTGGCAACTGCACAAATGCTGTGACCAACAATGCCTGTGTGAGAGGCTTGCATGCTTGTGCCATCCCGAAGTGCGGGCAGCACGGGCACGGGGCCTCCGCGTGCCCGAAGAGGAAGCAAGAGTGACGGTGCCAGGCGAGCACAACGACGAATGATTCGTCAGAGTCAATCGGTCGTGTGGCCGGTGTTGGCCAGTCAGGAAATGATTCGGATGCCCAAGCCAGTCAGAGCTTGGGACCGGAACACTTCCTCGGCGGATCATCTTTCGAGGCGGATGCATGCGGGCAACCAGCTTCAAGTTCTCCTCAGCACGATAAATTTTCCACAATTCTTCAACAGTGCCTGAGCTTTTTCGACAGCCTCCCGCACGAGTCAGTTGGGACCAAGACCGAATCTCATCGTGACCAGGTTGGGAAGGCTTTTTACAGCGGGATGTATTCTAAGGGTGTCGTAGGGCTGCGGACTTCGGTCCACCGGCACCCCGAGGAGGTGAAAGTTCTGACTTCGTTGATTCGTGCCGTCGAGCCAACGATGCTGTTCTCCAGTTTGGTCGTCGCCGAGGATTCTCAGGTTGGTGTCCACAAAGATGCTCAGAACGTCTGCGTCCAGAACTTGGTCATCCCGATGACTCGTTTTGGGGGAGGCGAACTGCTTCTAGAGGATCCCAAGGGTTCCTTGGTTCAGAGGGGTGAAATTTCTTTTAGGGCTCGCGCCGTGTCCTTGGATCAGGGACCCATTGCATTCGATGCCCGCTCTGTTAGGCATTCCGTAAACCCTTCTCGCGGTCGGCGCGTTGTCCTGATCGCGTACTGCTTGAAAGGCTCGGACCGCCTTGCAACAAAAGATTCCCAGTTGCTACGCAGTCTGGGGTTCGCACTGCCGGAGCAGGAGCCCGCCGAGGTTCCTCTCCCCGCTTTCACAGTTGGTTTTCCTGATTTTAGGCCCGCTCTAGGGTTTAGTCCCCCCGGCCCTAGTGCACCTTCTATGGACTATGGGTTTGTCTTCGGTTAAAGCTTGCCCTTGGTTGTGCCTAGAGCTGTTTGCCGAAACTGGCAATATGACTTCTGCTTTGCGGAGCTTCGGGTTCCAAGCCCTTCCCTTGGGGCGCCGTGCAAAGGGGCCTATACACGTGACCCCGCTGGACCTCTCTCGCGCCCTGTCGTGGCAGTACGTGAAGAGGCTTGTACAAGCCGGGGATGTGTTTGTGGTGCATCTTTCCCCACCTGCTCGCGGCTCGTTTGCCGATGCAGTGGCACCACTCGTCGCTGACTTCTGCTGTTGGCTCCGCTCCGAATTTCCTTCTGTGCACTTCTCAGTTGTGTGTCCCGCCTCCGCGGCGCTTTGGAAACAGTCTGGCTTGCTGGATCTTCAGCGGTCTTGCATTCAGGTCTCCTTTACTGCCGCCGACTGCGGTCCCGGGTCACATGAGAACTTTCTCTTGATGTCTTCACTTCCCGAGCTTCGGGTTTTTGAAACTCCGGCCGATGCCTCAAAGATCCCCTCCGGGAGCCCGGTTCGCGCGGCTCCTGTCGCTGCGCCCTCGTTCCTGCATACGAACCACTTTTGTACTAAATTTGCATCTGCCCTCGCCCTGGCCGCCGGTCAACTTGACACTGTACCGACACCAGCCCTTGTTACCAATGCTTCAGCCCGTGCCGCCAATCAGCTCCAGCCGCGTGTTTCAAGGGCCGTCGTGCTGGTCGAGGAATACCATTATCAAGTTACCGTGCCCGCGCCTTCGGGCGCCCTACCCTCTCTTGACCCTAAAAATTGCCTCGTGGAGGCATTAGGCCCCGTGCCTGCCGGCTCTCGGGTTCTTAGGGTTAATTTTGAGGCGGGTGTAGTTTTCCCTAAGCGCCCTAGACCCGACCGGAAGGTTTCCTCTCAGCTGTCTGACTTGGGAATCGGAAAATTGGTTTCCATCACGTGTGGAGGCTACCGAAGCCCTCTTCAGTTTGCGGAACGAGCTTTGAATGTTGGCCATCCTTGTGACATGTGCAGAGCACTGCCCGATCAAGCTATGGTCGTCCTGGGCCATCTGCTCATCGAGGGTCCTGTTAAGGTCCTCAGACGGAGATTGGATACGATAACCCAGTGGAAAGCTTGGGCCGCCGAACTGGAACCGGCCGAGGCTGAACTGCACAAATCCTTGCCCCCTTCTGTGGCCGAAGTGGTCAAGGGAAAGCGCCTGCTCCTCCTTGATCGCATTGCCAAATCCCTGCAATGGCCTGACACCCGCTTGCACAGGATATGACCAGTGGCTTTAAGATCGTGGGCGAGGAGTTCCCGAGCGGAATTTTCCCCCTTGAGCCTCGACCAGCGACCCTCACGCCTGAGGAGTTACTGGCTCAGTCTCGGTCAACCAAGCCCTTGATCTGGGAACAGGTCAACGATGCTCCGCTGGATGCGAACTCTCGCGAGCTTTTTGAAATCACTGAGGCTGAATACCGCGAGAAGGGATGGCTCGAGCAACCTCGCTCTTGGGAGGAACTTGAGCTCTTGTTCGGGGATTGGCTCCCGGCCAAAAGGTTTGGTGTACGCCAACGCGACAAGTTGCGCCCCATCGACGACTTAGCTGCCAACGGTGCAAACAGCGCATTTGCCGCTTGTGACAAGCTCACCTTGCGTGCCTTCGACGAGCTTGTTTGGTGTGCCACTTACATCATGCGGGTACTTGTGCAAAAAGGAACCGTCCACCTTGTCCTCTCCTGTGGTCGGGTGATCTCGGGACCCCTTCACGACTTCTGGAGGATCAAGACCGACCGTGCCCGCCCCTTGTTGAAAACTATCGACTTGAAGGCGGCGTATAAACAGCTACCGCTCCACCCAGAGCATCGCAGGTTTTGTGTGGTCGCATTGAAACATCCGGACAGCGGCCAAGTGCGGGGCTACGCATCAAGAGTCCTGCCCTTCGGGGCCTCGGGGAGCGTGACTTGCTTTAACAGGGTTGCACGCCTGATCCAACGGATTCTTCAGGAAGCCTGGATCTTGAACTGTAACTATTTTGATGATTTTCCGGTGTTGGAGTTATCCGCCCTGTCGGGGAGCGCCGACTCCACTGCTCATTGCATACTTGACCTACTCGGTTTCGAGTGCTCTACCGATAAGGAAGAGCCGTTCAAGAGCAGTGCCGACGTCTTGGGAGTCACGGTAGACCTCTCTTGTGAAGGCTTGTCCGAGGTGCGTGTGCGCAACCGGGAGGTAAAGTGCTGCGAGGTGGCGGCCTCTGTCGATGAGGTTCTTGATAGGGGCGCCATCCGGTCCGCGGAAATCGCTTCTCTCTTTGGGAGGATTCAGTTTCTTGAAGGGCAACTCATGGGACGCATGGGGCGACTGGCTTTGTCTGAGCTTCGCTCCCTCGGGACTTCCGGGGGAATCCTCAAGCTCGGGGACTCGGAACGGCATGCCTTCCAGAATCTTCGTGAGCGGTTGCTTCATGGGCCGCCCCGGGCGATCTCCGCTCGCCCACCTGGGGCGAATGTTATTGTGTTTACAGACGGAGCTTGCGAACCGGAGGGTGATAGCATGCTGTGCTCCATCGGTGGGGTGCTGTATGTTGAGAGCTCCGGCAAGTGGGCCACTCGATACTTTGGCTGCCGACTGCCCGATTCGCTCGTTAAGACTTGGAGTGCTTCTGGGAAGAAACACTTGATAGGGCCTGTTGAATTGTACGCAGTGACCACGGCAAGACTGTTGTGGCGAGAGTATCTTGATTTCGCCAAAGGCATTTTCTTCATCGACCACGCCGGTGTGCACGCCGCGTGCGTCAATGGATCGTCCCACGATCGCCTCTGGCGGCTCATCCTTTTGAAGCTTGAGGAAGCGGATGCCAAACCTATGATCGCCTGGTATGCCCGCGTTCCCAGCCAAAGCAATCCTGCAGACCCTCCGTCTAGGGGGTCCGACTTTTTCCCAGTTTGGGGCACATGCTCGAGGGATCATCCGAGGTGCTGCATATCCGGCGAGCTCTTGAGTTCGTTTGGTGAGACGGGAGTTTGTTGAACGAGCTCAATCCTCGTGAATGATGCTCGATCAGCTGTCTCTCGAGTGTCGGATCTTTCCCGAATCGGCTGTGCCGCCTTTCAAGAAAAAAGAGTGAGTCCGATTGCATGTGCGGTCTGCAATGCTGCATTTGTCTGCACATTTATATTCTCGTGCAATATATGTTTGATTGATTGATTTGAGTATGACTCTTTTCAATATTATATTCTTGCGAAAAGTAGCTTTAGCTATAAGCCTATTTTGAAACTTGTTTCATTCGGCTTTATAGCTCAAGCTATGTTTCAAATGCGACGTTGCTTTTGAAACTCGCTTTTCGCACAACCTTCTTTGAACCTGGGGGGGGGCAAACAACTGACTTTTAACCTTTTGTTTTGCCGCGAACTCTCGTCCTGATGCGAACCTTGATGTTGATCCTGTTAATGACCTCACGTCCGGCAGTCATTTGTGGATCGAGTTCACCATCGGGCGAGATTCGAAATTTTTGTCCCACCCAACCCACCCGGGAGTTTGTTGAACGAGCTCAATCCTCGTGAATGATGCTCGATCAGCTGTCTCTCGAGTGTCAGATCTTTCCCGAATCGGCTGTGCCGCCTTTCAAGAAAAAAGAGTGAGTCCGATTGCATGTGCGGTCTGCAATGCTGCATTTGTCTGCACATTTATATTCTCGTGCAATATATGTTTGATTGATTGATTTGAGTATGACTCTTTTCAATATTATATTCTTGCGAAAAGTAGCTTTAGCTATAAGGATCGCATGCTTCGCGAGCTGTGTCGACTTGAAGACAACATGATCTCCTACGCGTGGTACGCTCGCGTACCGTCGAAGTCGAACATCGCCGACGGACCTTCAAGGGGCAAAGGCGATGATGTGGCCAGAGCGTTGGGCCTGGCCAGTGCGGAGTCGTTCCCTGGATGCATTCCATGGCAGCACTTGTTATGGGGGCAATCGGGTGCTGACACATAGCGGATTCTCTTACCGCAAACCGCTTTGTGGAAACTCTACCACACGTGTTGTGCACCGAAGTTGTCGGTGCGAAAACCCTTTTCGAACAGCCCCTTTCGAGTGCTCAGAAGAAAAGAAGATCGCGTCTTCAGTTGTGCGAATATATTCGGGAGCATTTTTGATAACTGGCTCCAATACTTATTATATTCTCGGGCATTCTACATATTGAGCCCGGATACTGTTTCACGAATCTTTATGCAATATACGGTTCTGGAGTTTCGGGCTCAAGTGGGGAGGGGCTCCGCGTGCCTTGAGCTGGTTAACCTGTACTTTCCCGAGTGCAGGGCTGACACTTCCCACACGTGCCTTCGGGCCATGGCTCCTTCTTCTGGAGGCCTTGATTGTGGGTTCTACCTACACTTATGGCGATCTTTGAAGCGAATGAATTGTGCTTTGAGTGATGGTGCTTCTTTGTCGGGCAAAGAAGTGATTGGGAAAGAAAAGAGCTGTTTCGGCAGCTGGGGCAAAGCGTCTGGCAATGACCGAGATGCGCAACCGAGGGTGGCTCAGCGCCTGCAGATGCTGAGCGCTTTCATTGTTCGAGCACGTGATTTTCAGCTTCTGCTGTTCCAGAAGGATTTTGATTTCTTGGCTCAACGTGGTGTGCCGAGAACCATGGTGTGGAGTGCAGTTGGGCCTTGGGGGCTCCGACTAGGGGCTTCGGAGATGGAGTGCTCTGATGGCACGTGTGTGAGCGGCAACCCGCTTGCTGCTGCAACCTCTTGGTCCTCGGGGATGGATCACGGGATTGCTGGGGATGAATGCCCTGCTCAGGGGCTACCTTTGGCGAGTGAGCCTTGTGCGCATGCTTCCGACACGCAGGCAAGTGCAACTTTTGGGCTTCACATGATTGAGGACACTTTCTCTGAGGAGTTTCTTTACTACGTGCCGCAGGCAAGTGCAGCATTTGGGCTTCACTTGATTGAGGACACTTTCTCCGAGGAATTTCTTTACTACGCGCCGCAGCAGCAGCTTCTTCCCTCAGCGGCTGGTCTGGACCTTGGTGCTGGGCTGTGTGGGACGTCGCCTTGCGCTGCTGAGAGCCCTGTGTGTGACATTCAAGAAATCAACAAGACCCGTGAAAGGGCAAAGAGCCTTAGAGGCCTAGCCAGTGATGATTGTGTGTGTCAAGAAATCAACAAGACCCGCGAAAGGGCAAAGAGCCTGAGAGGCCTAACTAGTGCCGATTGTGATGGTGAGTGCGAGCCTGACCGTAGGACGAAGAGCCTTTATGGCCGTGTTCTTAGTATTCTGTGGGAGCTCAGCACTATCAAGACCCGCGAAAGGGCTAAGAGTGAGACTGATACCGGGCCTCTGGTGCCTGCTACTAGTTCTAGTGGTAGACATGGCTCCCCGGAGCCCCCCTGTTCTCCCTCCTCGCAGTGCTGCTGCCATGGCCAGTTCTTCATCGCGCAGGGCAAGGACACTGGGGCCGACGATGCTTCTTCCTGGGGCTGCTGCCCGTGCCGTGGTTCCTCTGCCCCCCTAGGGTTTAGGTCCTCCCCCTTAGGGGTTCCCGTGTCTTCTTTTGGGGGCGATGTGCACTGCCCAAGCTCCACTTTCTCCCCTAGGGTTTAGGCCGTTGCCCTCTTGGGTGCCTGATGTCCAGGCTGCTGCAACAGCTGATCGGGGTGATCTTGTGATGCCTAATAGAGCGTGCCCCCGGAGCCCAGGCGGTGGGTGCAATCCGGATTTGGAGTTTTTGTCAGGAGGAGGTGGGGTCGCTGACCCAGGGCTCCGGGGGCCTTCCCAATACAGGCCGCCGTCGGCGTGTAATGCATCCGTGGGTCGAGGGGACTGTGGTCTCGTCGAGCAGTCCCAGGACCGTGCTGAGTGTGGTGGTGATTGCCTTCAACAGGGTTTCCCTTCGCCCCTTCGGTTTAGACACCCTCCTGTGCCTTTAGGAGTACCCGAGTGCACTTGCAAGCCCCTGAGAGGGCGAGATGCTGTGCCGACATGTGCGGTCTTGCCTCAGAGTGAGCCTGTAGCTTCTGATGTGCAGGGGCCACTGGGTCAAGACAGGCCGAAAGGTCCGAGTATATCCCGCGTGGCCCCTGGTTGTTTGACGCCTTGCTGTCTGTGTTGCGGGTGCCATGCTGACATGCTTGATCCGAGAAGCCCGCCTGTCTGTGTGCAGTTGCAGGGGTCAGTGGGTCAAGGTAGGCCGAAAGGTCCGAGTATATCCCATTTGGCCCCGAGCAGCCTGCTTCCAACACGTGTGTGCGAGGTATGCTCTGGTGCAATGCACAACTGCGATTGTGGACTGCGGCCTGCTGATGGGCAGCCTCTTCCGAGGCAGGGTGGTGACGGGCAAGTGCAAGGGATCTCGGGTCAGGACCTGGACTCTGCTGCTATCTTGCGCTCCTGCTTGTCTGAGGGCTGCTCGGGTCCCACTGGCCTAAGGTTTGGAGGCGGCAACCCGTTTGAGGGCATGATGGCCAGCATCACGGAACAGCTTATGCCCATGATCACTGCGCTCATTCAGAAAGCTGTGCAGGAAGCCATTGCAAATGCAATGGGAGGTGCCCCGGCAACCCCTCCCCGTGTTGTGCTGCAGGAACCGGACCTGGAGCGAGGGCCCAAACGCCATAAGCCTGACCCTAACCCCAGCAACAAGCGAAAAAAACCATGAGTCGAGCCGCCATCCTTCGTCTCGTGAGCCGGGCGAGGGCAAAGCAGCTGGTGGCAGAGGTGGTCAGCCTGGTGCTGCAAAGGGCTCGGCCAAGGGTGCTGCTAAAGGCAGTGCAGAGGCGTCCCCACCCAAGTCTGGACCTAAGGGCAAAGGGCAGGGCGACCGGCCTCCTCGTGATGCTGAGGGCTGGACCAAGGTTCAGCGTGCTCCCCCGCAGGGCCCCTTCCAGCTCCGAAGGCAGGATTGGAGCGCGCAGTTGTTGTCGCAGGATGGCATTGCCAAAGCATTGGACGAACTTAAACCGGGTTCTACTCTGGAAGCTGTCATTCTTGTTGAGCCCTCGGCGCTGCCGAGAATTCGCACCATGCTTGCAGGCACCAGCAAATCCCATAAAATCACCCTTGTTACCTTGGACGCGAATGGTCCTCACAAGGTCCCGGGAAGTGTGGGTGATCTCCTACGTTTTCGACGAGCCTCGATTGCACATTGCAAATCTGACCCTGCTGATGGTGGTGTCCCTTGCTTTGCGGGGCACAAGGCCAAGGCCATTAAAGTTGTTCCTGCGTCCACTTCGGTCGTCTACTTTAAGGTGCCTGAGATGTACATGACGCCTGATAAATTCAAGCATTGGAAGAACAACCCGAGTCGTGCTGCTTCTTCTTGGGCAAGCTCTCACCAAATCACTTTGAGTGACACGTGGGGTTGGGTCGAGGAGCAGCAGGCTGGCAAGCAAGGACTGCAGTTGTTTGGCATTGCTCGCCTCCTGGACTCCGAGTTGTCTTCTCTCGTTGCTGTCAGTGGCCGGGATGGAGTTTTTGTTGATGTGCCGCGCGGCAAGCTTGTCTCCACTGTGCAGTGGCTTGCTGTTACCAAGGGGGAAGCTCCGACTGCGTACCTTGAACGCGGCCTCCGCATGAGTGCTCCTTATGGCCTTGCCACCCAGGGCGGACGCATTGGCGCCAGATCGCCTAGGGATCCCTCACAGGCTGTCCCGCGTGTTTGGAATTTCCCTCATGTGCCGGCTAGCTGGGGACAGAAGGAAGTGCTGCAGGTGCTGGACCAATCCTTCAAGGATGTGGCTTTGATTCAGCATAAGCGCACTGGCGCTGAGTACTTGTATCGCTTCAGAGCTACGCTTAAACACGGCGATCTTGATCTGGTTCCTTTGAGTGCTATCGTCGAGAGCGAGCCGGGGAAGGACAATGAAATCACGCTGTGGGCTACGGTTGCACCCTATAAGCCTAAGCAAGCTAGGCAGCGACCTCTGCGATGTGCGCCGACTCCCTGTCTTGCCAAGGAGAAGCCTGCATTGGAGCCCCAATCCGTTAAAATTCAGGTCCCCGCTGAACTGGATGATGACGGTAAGGAGGTGTCCCCTGCCAAACATGTTGCGGCTTCGCATCGGCAAATCCCCTCGGGGTGTGATCTCATTGAGACTCCGAAAGACGGAGCCTGTTTGTTTCACGCCATAGCGCGTGGCCTCCACTGGCTTTCGGGCCCTAAGAAAACTGAGCACTCCCACAGGGACTTGAGGGCGCGCTGTGTAGAGCACTTACGAAAATATGCTTCGCAATATATAGGGGAATGGGACGGCCACGGGCCGGCTCTACAAAAATTGCGCGAAAATGCCGCATCTCCGGAGGACGCCTTTGAGGAATACCTCAAGTTAATTGCTTCGGAATCTGCATACGCCTCTGAGCATCGAGCTGAAGGCTCTCGGACGTTTATTTGATTGCCACATCCTTGTGATCCCACGCGATGGGAATTTTAGTGCGATGTCGTTTCATGCGCAGCAGCGCAAAAGGAGGCTGGTGTTATGGTACACGCCTCGGCACATCGAGCTTCTTTTGCCAGCTAAGGATGCTAAAGACTACCCAGAGGAGGTTTTCTCCGTTACGAGTGGTGCTGTCGTTGACCTGAGGGCTGGAGGGGATGATGTTTCCCAGTGCTCTGGTACTGTTTGGACTGCTTGCGCCCGATCAAACCGATCCAAGGCCAGCCGATCATCCTCTGTGAAGGCGGGCACTGTGTGGACTGTCACCAACGCGTCGAGCAGAAAGACCGCTTCTTCTCTTAAGCGCGCTCGCGGTGCTGCTGCGACGGTCTGGTCCCGAGCCGTCTCCTCTGGTGCTTCCGTGCATTCTCAAATGCCTGCCTTGCCGGAGTGCGACGATGATGATGCCCCGCAACCTGAGCGGTTGCATCATGCCAGCCGGGCCCTGCCTCAATCTGCCCTTGTAATGGCCCGTCGTAATCGCGGCCGAGCCTTCCCTGATGGAGTTGCTAAATGCAGGCTTTGTCCCTTTCGCCGCAAGTGTGCTGATCCTGTGAAGGCCTATGCGGCCTATCAGCGGCACTTCTTGGATTCGCATCCGGGGGAGAAGCTTGGGCTCGCTCCTGCCCGCAAGGCTTCCTGTGTTCGTGACCTCGCTGATGGCGAGGGGGCGTACTGGAGATGCAAACGGTGCCAGGCAGGCATCTCTACTGCTGATGCGGCCCGCTTTGGCAAGGACTCTCTGTGCCGCTTTCGCCGGGAGCATAAAACACAGGCCCACCCGCGCGTCTCTTGGGCTGTGTGGAACAAGGAAGCGAAATCACACTCGGCCACCAAATGGGCCTCAAAGATCAGTGTCACTCGCAACAATGCCCAGAAGGCTAAGCTCCTGCCGGTGCTGCGCGAGCTGGAGGCTCAGGACTTTGCTGCCTTCGGGTGGCCGCGCCAGGCTGGGAAGGACACCAATACTGTTGATAAGTATCCCTTGCGCATATGCCCGGCTTGGGTGTGCCGCAAATGCCGAGCGCCGTGCCCCTCTGCAGAGATCGCTAGGAAACATCGGTCGGTCAAGGGACAGTGCCCTTCTCGCACTGCTAAGGCGAGGGCGTGGATTCGGTTGCGCTCCCTTGCTGCCAATAAGAAGCTTCATGATGCTGCTCCTGCCTCTGTTCGCAAAGAGCAAGGCGAGCTCGCCTTCGCTGCTGCTGAAAAGGCCTTGCGAGCCCCCATGTCGTCGGTGTGATTCGACTTTCGTGCTTGAATGTTCACCGGCGTGGCACGTCGACGGTGGGGATGCTCGATGCTCTGCTTCGGCAAGGCCCCCCACAGATTGTGGCGTTGTCCGAGGTCAATGTTCCTGAAACGGCTGGCATCGGCTATCGCAACCAGTGGAAAGCGCATGGCCGGCATGTTGCTCTGAGTGCTCCTGAGGATCTCGGCAGCCGGGTTGCTTTGGTCAGCGATTTTCCTTTTCGGCATGTCCAGCTGTGTAAGGGTCCTGCTTCCACCAGGCACGTGGCGGGACTCTTCAATTTGCGATCCCTCCCTGAGGATGATTCTTCGCTCCCTGCGAGCTCCCGGAGTGCCACTGATGAAACCATCCTGGTGGTGGCCTTTTATGGCCAGGCAGGCAACGAGCCAGTCGCCCAGACACAGGTGGATGAGGTTTTGGAGTGTGCGGTTTCCTCGGGTTATAGGTTTGTGGTTTTGGGCGACTACAATCTCGAGCCTTCCCAAGGCCGCTTAGGATCGCTAATTTCGCAAGGCATCGTGCTTGCTGGTGATGAATGTGCGCGTGGCCGGCCCCTTCCTGCCACGGGCCCGGTCAATGCCCAAGGAGTGCGCTCTCGTCGCATTGATTTTGCTGTTAATCATCGTGACTTGCCTGCGGTTTCTGTGGATCACTTTACGTGCGATTTTTCGGACCACTTGGGGGTACACTACTCGTATACCCTTGATGCTCCTTGCCCCTTGGTTGGGCCTAAGCGATGTAAGCCTCGTGATGATCTCCAGTCTTCTGACTTGGAGTCCAGATGTGCTCAAATTGATGCTGGCCCTTTTGCGAGCGCCTTGGAACAGAATGATTTGGACGGGGCTTGGCGCTTCTTGTCGAACACCGCCGAGCTTTTGCTGTGTGAGCCGTGCTCTGCAGAGTGCGTTCCTCGCGCGTCTTCCTGGGAGCCTGTCGCCCACAGTGCGGCGGGACGGGCTGGCAAGCAGCTTGTGAAGTCGGAGGGCCTGCGCCTTTTGCTGCGACTCCGTGCGAGGCTTCAGGTTCTTTCCCACCGGACGAACGATGCTTTGCTGGTGGCGCGAATCAGGCGCTCACTCCGGTCCACGCGCTTGAAGGTGCCCAGCCTGCCTTATGCCTGTGATGGCGATGAGCTCTCTCTTCTCCCACATGTTGCACAGCTCGTTGAGACTTTCATGCAGCAGGAGGAGGAGGCAAGAAAGCAGATGTGGCGCACCAGGACGCGTGCTGACCTGCCTCGTGCCCGGTCTTTTGTGAAGCGGCGCGCTGATGAGCAGCTTGCTTGGGAGCGTCAGCTTCCGGATGTTGCCAGTCCGGGCGACCCTGCACATCCGGCGGTCGCGGTTGCAGCTGTGGCAAAGGACCTGCGGGCGAAGCTCTGTCCCGCGTCCTTTAGGGCGGTTGACATGCAGGCCATGCGTGATCTGTTGCGGCCCCTGCCGCGCCCCGCAAGCTCGGAGGTCGTGCCTAACATCACGCCAGAGGCTCTCCGACGCTCCATGCAGTCCATGAGGCACCGTGCTGCCGGGCCGGATGCGTGGAAACCTGGACTGCTATGTTCCATGCCTGATCTTTGGTGGGTGTGGACCTCCCAGCTGTGGAATCGGTGCCTTGCTTGTTGTGACGTCACCGCCCAGTGGGCACAGGCACGTGTGGTGATGATTAAGAAAATCAAGGGGGGCTTCAGGCCGTTAACCATCTCTCAAGCTGTCTGGCGTGCGGGAGCTAGGATTTTGAATGCCCAACTCTCCGACTGGATAGGTTCTTGGAGCTCTCCGTCGGATGCCGGTGGCATCCCGGGCACGTCGGTGTCGGGTGCCCTGCTTCAGCTGAATGCTGCTGCGCGGTGGCGCTAACGTTGCGGTTCAACAGGACATTGCGGGGTTCTTTGATGCCATCCAGTTTGAAGCCCTAGAGGTCCTCCTTTCTCATTTGAAAGCGCCGCCTTTTCTTTGGCCGCTGCTGAAGGCCTTTTACACGCGAGCTTCGCGCATCGTCCAACTTGATGGTGCATACAGTGATGCCTGGTTTAAGCCCCGCTTGGGTATAGCTCAGGGTTGTCCCTTAAGTCCCACCCTTGCTGCCGCATTTAGCCACCTTTGGACCTTGGCTGTGTTGAGGCAAGGGGTTTCAGGCCTGGTCTACCTGGACGACCGGTCCTTCTGGACTTCCTCTGCGGATCTTGGCGACCTGGAGCATGCGATTCGGCGCTCCGACCGATTCGATGCCACTTGTGGTCTTGAAATTTCCCTGCCAAAGTGTGCGATCGTGGCGCCGGAGGGTCATGTCGAGGCCTCTGCTCTGGCTGCCCGATTCAACTATCAGTTTTCGCAAACCCTTGAAGTCTTAGGTGTCACTGTTTCCTTTAATGATGAATGGGGCTTGCTGAAATTTTCCTTGAGAAAAGCTTTGCTGCGTATGGACCTTTTGCGCTGGGTGACCGCTTGCAGTCGACTGCGGGCCCTCATGCTGAAATCACTTGTTTACCCGTGCTTGGTGTGGGCCGCTGCCTATGCCACGCCACTGGCAGGCGAGATGAAGCAAGTTAGAGATGCTGCGATTCGTGTTTTTGACTGTCAATTTTCCTTTGAAGCCCCGCGTGTCCTGATCTTCGAACATGTGGGGTGGATGCTGGAGCCACAGTGCGCTGCTGACTCTGCTGTGCTCCGCGAGGCCTGGCGCCTCCTCTGCAAGCCTCCGGCCTTTGCTCTGGAGCAGCCGCGTGATGCCCGGGGTCAGCGCTGGGATCAGCTGTTGCCTGCTGCGCCTGGCCTCCTTCGCAAATTGGGGTGGAGCGTTGTTGAACGCCCTGATGGCTTCTTTTTCGCCTGCCGTGATGACTTAGGGATCTCTCGTGAGGTGCAGGTCGGATGGGAGAGCTTTGCTGAGGTTAAGGGCTGGCTGTTTGACCATTACCGGCACCTTTACATGCAGAGATGCCAGCGCGTCTGGCGGAGCTTTCATAGGCCGGACCCGAGCCTTGCACGCGGCCTGGATCTGGCACCTCCGTCGCGGGATGCGCGCTTCAGCTTTCGTGGGCACCGCGTTGCCATGCATGAGGCGACCACTCCTTATATGAGACGGGCTGCTGCTGTCACGGGAGGCTCGTGCTGGTTCTTTACGGCCGGGCAGGGCTTGAATGAGCAGCATAGGCGCATGCAGTGCCTCTGCGGAGCGACTGCTCCGTCGCGACCGCATGTGACCTGGGTTTGCGAGTGCACCGAGGCGCTCCGGCGGGATCACCCCCCTCCGACGAATCGGGCGGAGGAGCGCATGTTTGCCAAGTCGACTCCCTTGAATCTGAAACCTCCGGCGCCTGCCGCCTCTGACTGTGGGGCCTTTCGGGCGGACTTGGATGCTGCTTTCCGTGCTGCCCTCGGCTCTGGCAGGAGCAGGATTTATGCGGCTACTGATGGCTCCAGCCATCGATCTGTCGGTGCTTATGCGGTGGTGATCGGCGATCCGTCTTGTGTCTATGCCATGGGCACTGGGGCAGAGGATCAATCCCCGTATCGGCAGGAAGTTCTGGCCCTCCACGCGGCCTTTGCTTCGGTCCACCGGGTGTGGAGTGAGGGCTGCGAGACGTGCATTTTCATCTTGACCGACTGCAAAGCTGCCCTGACGGCCATCTCGGGCCATGGTGATGATCCCTTTAAGTTGGGCCTCTTGCTGAGGGACGCGCGCCGTCTCTGGAAGGAACTGGTGAGGCGCGGCTGTGCTATCTCCTTGATCTGGGTGCCGTCACACAATAAGCACCCCCGCTGGCGGCCTTCGCCGGATCACGATGCGGATGTGCTCCGCGCCTTTAACCATGCTGCAGATCAGGCGGCGGGCAATTGCATGCAAAACAGGCTCTTGGGCTCTCTCCGGGAGCGATGGCATCAACAGTGTGAGCAGGCTCGGGATTGGGAGCTGGCTACCATCAGACTTGCGGCAGCTGCTGCCGAGAAGCTGGACAAACATGTGAAAAGTGTTCCCCTTGATGATGCTGAGCCCGCAGGGGCTGGGCCTTGACTAGTTTGGCCGCACCAGAATGCTCTATGACTACTTACCTTTGGCTCCTCAATTCTTTGATTGCCCTTGGTATGTCTTTCGTGTGTGTGCAGCTTGTGCTTTCATGTGCCGGGCGGAACGAACTTTCACTCCCTGCCCTCTCCCCTTCGGGTTTGCTCGGGTTTAGGCCCCTTCTCTCCCCTAGAGGTTCCGGTGTGCACCTGGCGTAAACTCCTCTATGCATGAGCGCGGCCTCGCTTGTTGCGTGGTGCTGCTGCTATTGTGTGGAGCTCGCTTTCCCAGGCCTCCGTGGCTCCGCGATGCCCTTGCCTCCCCTTTGGGTTTCTTGGGTTTAGGCCCCTCTCCCCTCGGGGTACTCTTGTGCATCTTGCGTGAGCTCAGGCCCTTCTGCTGAGCGCGGCAATGCTTCCTTGTGTGGCGATGCTGCTGCCGGCGGGAGTCCCTGATTCTGGGATGTTTCTTGTAACAATCTTTTGCTGACCTTGCTATGGCCCATCCGCTTCTACCGGGTGCGTGCTTCGAACCACTCCGAGCGCTGCTTGCCTGGCTCCTGCCTGGCACTGCTGCTGCTGGTGTGGGCTCGTTTCTTTAGGCTGGTCCTCTCCTTTTGGGTTTTTTCGGGTTTAGGCCCTTCCCTCCCCTTAGGAGCCCTGTGTGCAATGAGGTGCGCTTTGGCCTCTCGCCGAATGCGTTTATGCTCTACTTGGGCTGCTGATGATGGCCTGGGGGTTTTCGCATTTAACACCTTTCGCGTGCGCGTGATGCCTCACGCTTTCTTGACTTTCACGTGGCATCCTTTCTTGACGGCCCTTGTTCCCTTTTGGGTTGTTCGGGTTTAGGCCCTGTCCCCTTCCCTAGGGGTTCCTGTGTGGACTGGCTGTGCTCTTGGCGTAAACCGAGAGCGGCACTGCTCTGCCTCTCTGGTCTGGCGCTGCTGCTGCTGGTTTGGGCTGCTGGCTCACCCTTCCTCCTCTTCGTCGTCTACTACAAGGGCGGCTGCTGTGGGCTGCGGAAGCGAGGTCCTCTGAGCTCCACCGACGACGCCTTCTGAAGTGACGTGAGAGCCTCCCGTGTAGTTGATTTCTTCTCGGATTTGTAGCTCTGCTGCTCCGAGCTTTTGACCTGATCCGTAGCTTTGCTGCTCAGGCCATGTTGTTTCGAGCTTCTTTCCGAACCGTTAGTTGCTGCTCGGAATGTTTCCGGATGTGATTGCGTAGCTAATCTGATACATCCAATTCGATGCTTTTCACAAGAGGAGGTACATGTCAGACGGACTGCGGCTTCCTGACTTCCCTCCCATTCAATGTGTGGCGAAGGCTCTCAATGTTGCCTCGTCTTTTGTTAATAGTGTCGCTGATGATCATCGCTCGGGACTTGTGCTGCACAGCTTCGCACTCTCCTAGATGACTCAGCATGTTGCGGGATGTTTCACCCGACCCGCGAGGACCTCGGACAGCAGCTGAGCGGTCTTCTCGAAGTCGCTCAGCCCCCAGACCACCGGAAATTCTGGAGTTTTGGGCTCAAGTGGGGAGGGGCTCCGCGTGCCTTGAGCTGGTTAACCTGTGCTTTCCCGAGTGCAGGGCTGACACTTCCCACACGTGCCTTCGGGCCATGGCTCCTTCTTCTGGAGGCCTTGATTGTGGGTTCTACCTACACCTATGGCGATCTTTGAAGCGAATGAATTGTGCTTTGAGTGATGGTGCTTCTTTGTCGGGAAAAGAAGTGATTGGGAAAGAAAAGAGCTGTTTCGGCAGCTGGGGCAAAGCGTCTGGCAATGACCGAGATGCGCAACCGAGGGTGGCTCAGCGCCTGCAGATGCTGAGCGCTTTCATTGTTCGAGCACGTGATTTTCAGCTTCAGCTGTTCCAGAAGGATTTTGATTTCTTGGCTCAACGTGGTGTGCCGAGAACCATGGTGTGGAGTGCAGTTGGGCCTTGGGGGCTCCGACTAGGGGCTTCGGAGATGGAGTGCTCTGATGGCACGTGTGTGAGCGGCAACCCGCTTGCTGCTGCAACCTCTTGGTCCTCGGGGATGGATCACGGGATTGCTGGGGATGAATGCCCTGCTCAGGGGCTACCTTTGGCGAGTGAGCCTTGTGCGCATGCTTCCGACACGCAGGCAAGTGCAACTTTTGGGCTTCACATGATTGAGGACACTTTCTCTGAGGAGTTTCTTTACTACGTGCCGCAGGCAAGTGCAGCATTTGGGCTTCACTTGATTGAGGACACTTTCTCCGAGGAATTTCTTTACTACGCGCCGCAGCTGCAGCTTCTTCCCTCAGCGGCTGGTCTGGACCTTGGTGCTGGGCTGTGTGGGACGTCGTCTTGCGCTGCTGAGAGCCCTGTGTGTGACTTTCAAGAAATCAACAAGACCCGTGAAAGGGCAAAGAGCCTTAGAGGCCTAGCTAGTGATGATTGTGTGTGTCAAGAAATCAACAAGACCCGCGAAAGGGCAAAGAGCCTGAGAGGCCTAACTAGTGCCGATTGTGATGGTGAGTGCGAGCCTGACCGTAGGACGAAGAGCCTTTATGGCCGTGTTCTTAGTGTTCTGTGGGAGCTCAGCACTATCAAGACCCGCGAAAGGGCAAAGAGTGAGACTGATATCGGGCCTCTGGCGCCTGCTACTAGTTCTAGTGGTAGACATGGCTCCCCGGAGCCCCCCTGTTCTCCCTCCTCGCAGTGCTGCTGCCATGGCCTGGGCTCGCTGGCGGCTGGCGACGGTGGCGGCCAGTTCTTCATCGCGCAGGGCAAGGACACTGGAGTGGTTGCCGATGACGCTTCTTGCCGGGGCTGCTGCCCATGCCGTGGTTCCTCTGCCCCCCTAGGGTTTAGGTCCTCCCCCATAGGGGTACCCGTGTCTTCTGTTGGGGGCGATGCGCTGCCCCATTGCTGCACTGACCAAGCTTCACTTTCTCCCCTAGGGTTTAGGCCTTTGGTTTCTTGGGCACCTGAAGTCCGGGCTGCTGCAACAGCTGATCGGGATGATCTAGTGATGCCTAATAGAGCGTGCCCCCGGAGCCCAGGCGGTGGGTGTAATCCGGGTTTGGAGTTTTTGCCAGGAGGAGGTGGGGTCGCTGACCCAGGGCTCCGGGGGCCTTCCCAATACAGGCCGCCGTCGGTGTGCAATACATCAGTGGGTCGAGGGGACTGTGGTCCCGTTGAGCAGTCTCAGGACGGTGCCAAGCTCGATGCAGTTTCCCCTTGCATGTGTCAGGTGCCTGCGACGCGCCTGGCGGGACTGCTGCAAACTCAGAGTGATCTTGACGGTGCGCAACTGCAGGGGCCCCTGGGTCAAGACAGGCCGAAAGGTCCGAGTATATCCCGCGTGGCCCCTGGTAGTTTGACGCCTTGCTGCCTGTGTTGCGGGTGCTATGCTGACATGTTTGATCCGAGAAACCCGCCTGTATGTGTGCAGTTGCAGGGGTCAGTGGGTCAAGGTAGGCCGAAAGGTCCGAGTATATCCCATTTGGCCCCGAGCAGCCTGCTTTCAACATGTGTGTGTGAGGTATGTCCTGGCGTGATGCACAACTGCGATTGTGGACTGCGGCCTGCTGACGGGCAGCCTCATCTGAGGCAGGGTGATGACGGGCAAGTGCAAGGGAACTTGGGTCAGGATCTGGACTCTGCTGTTATCTTGCGCTCCTGCTTGTCTGAGGGCTGCTCGGGTCCCACTGGCCTCAGGTTTGGAGGCGGAAACCCGTTTGAAGGCATGATGGCTAGTATCACGGAACAGCTTATGCCCATGATCACCGCGCTCATTCAGAAAGCTGTGCAGGAAGCCATTGCAAATGCAATGGGAGGTGCCCCGGCAACCCCTCCCCGTGTTGTGCTGCAGGAGCCGACCCTGGAGCGAGGGCCTAAACGCCATAACCCTGACCCTAACCCCAGCAACAAGCGAAAAAATCATGAGTCGAGCCGCCATCCTTCCTCTCGTGAGCTGGGCGAGGGCAAAGCATCTGGTGGCAGAGGTGGTCAGCCTGCTGCTGCAAAGGGCTCGGCCAAAGGTGTTGCTAAAGGCAGTGCAGAGGCGTCCCCACCCAAGCCTGGACCTAAAGGCAAAGGGCAGGGCGATCGGCCTCCTCGTGATGCTGAGGGCTGGACCAAGGTTCAACGTGCTCCCCCGCAGGGCCCCTTCCAGCTCCGAAGGCAGGATTGGAGCGCGCAGTTGTTGTCGCAGGATGGCATCGCCAAAGCATTGGACGATCTTAAACCGGGTTCTACACTGGAAGCTGTCATTCTTGTCGAGCCCTCGGCGCTGCCGAGAATTCGCACCATGCTTGCTGGCACCAGCAAATCCCATAAAATCACCCTTGTAACCTTGGACGCGAACGGTCCTCACAAGGTCCCGGGAAGTGTGGGTGATCTCCTGCGTTTTCGGCGAGCCTCGATTGTGCATTGCAAATCCGACCCTTCTGATGGTGGTGTCCCTTGCTTTGCGGGGCACAAGGCCAAGGCCATTAAAGTTGTTCCTGCGTCCACTTCGGTCGTCTACTTTAAGGTGCCTGAGATGTACATGACGCCGGATAAATTCAAGCATTGGAAGAACAACCCGAGTCGTGCTGCCTCTTCTTGGGCCAGTTCTCACCAAATCACTTTGAGTGACACGTGGGGTTGGGTCGAGGAGCAGCAGGCTGGCAAGCAAGGTTTGCAGCTGTTTGGCATTGCTCGCCTCCTGGATGCCGAGCTGTCTTCTCTCGTTGCTGTCAGTGGCCGGGATGGAGTTTTTGTTGATGTGCCGCGCGGCAAGCTTGTCTCCACTGTGCAGTGGCTTGCTGTTACCAAGGGGGAAGCTCCGACTGCGTACCTTGAACGCGGCCTCCGCATGAGTGCTCCTTATGGTCTTGCCACCCAGGGCGGACGCCTTGGCGCCAGATCGCCTAGGGATCCCTCACAGGCTGTCCCGCGTGTTTGGAATTTCCCTCATGTGCCGGCTACCTGGGGACAGAAGGAAGTGCTGCAGGTGCTGGACCAATCCTTCAAGGATGTGGCTTTGATTCAGCATAAGCGCACTGGCGCCGAGTACTTGTATCGCTTCAGAGCTACGCTCAAACACGGTGATCTTGATCTGGTTCCTTTGAGTGCTATCGTCGAGAGCGAGCCGGGGAAGGACAATGAAATCACGCTGTGGGCTACGGTTGCACCCTATAAGCCTAAGCAAGCTAAGCAGCGACCTCTGCGATGTGCGCCGACTCCCTGCCTTGCCAAGGAGAAGCCTGCACTGGAGCCCAAACCTGTTAAACTTGAGGTCCCTGCTGAGCTGGATGATGAAGGTAAGGAGGTGTCCCCTGCCAAACATGTTGCGGCTTCGCATCGGCAAATCCCCTCGGGGTGTGATCTCATTGAGACTCCGAAAGACGGAGCCTGTTTGTTTCACGCCATAGCGCGTGGCCTCCACTGGCTTTCGGGCCCTAAGAAGACTGAGTACTCCCACAGGGACTTGAGGGCACGCTGTGTAGAGCACTTACGAAAATATGCTTCGCAATATATAGGGGAATGGGACGGCCACGGGCCGGCTCTACAAAAATTGCGCGAAAATGCCGCATCTCCGGAGGACGCCTTTGAGGAATACCTCAAGTTAATTGCTTCGGAATCTGCATACGCCTCTACCATCGAGCTGAAGGCTCTCGGACGTTTATTTGATTGCCACATCCTTGTGATCCCACGCGATGGGAATTTTAGTGCGATGTCGTTTCATGCGCAGCAGCGCAAAAGGAGGCTGGTGTTATGGTACACGCCTCGGCACATCGAGCTTCTTTTGCCAGCTAAGGCTAAGGATGCTAAAGACTACCCAGAGGAGGTTTTCTCCGTTACGAGTGGTGCTGTCGTTGACCTGAGGGCTGGAGGGGATGACGCTTCCCAGTGCTCTGGTACTGTTTGGACTGCTTGCGCCCGATCAAACCGATCCAAGGCCAGCCGATCATCCTCTGTGAAGGCGGGCACTGTGTGGACTGTCACCAACGCGTCGAGCAGAAAGGCCGCTTCTTCTCTTAAGCGCGCTCGCGGTGCTGCTGCGACGGTCTGGTCCCGAGCCGTCTCCTCTGGTGCTTCCGTGCATTCTCAAATGCCTGCCTTGCCGGAGTGCGATGATGATGATGCCCCGCAACCTGAGCGGTTGCATCATGCCAGCCGGGCCCTGCCTCAATCTGCCCTTGTGATGGCCCGTCGTAATCGCGGCCGAGCCTTCCCTGATGGAGTTGCTAAATGCAGGCTTTGTCCCTTTCGCCGCAAGTGTGCTGATCCTGTGAAGGCCTATGCGGCCTATCAGCGGCACTTCTTGGATTCGCATCCGGGGGAGAAGCTTGGGCTCGCTCCTGCCCGCAAGGCTTCCTGTGTTCGTGACCTCGCTGATGGCGAGGGGGCGTACTGGAGATGCAAACGGTGCCAGGCAGGCATCTCTACTGCTGATGCGGCCCTTTTTGGCAAGGACTCTCTGTGCCGCTTTCGCCGGGAGCATAAAACACAGGCCCACCCGCGCGTCTCTTGGGCTGTGTGGAACAAGGAAGCGAAATCACACTCGGCCACCAAATGGGCCTCAAAGATCAGTGTCACTCGCAACAATGCCCAGAAGGCTAAGCTCCTGCCGGTGCTGCGCGAGCTGGAGGCTCAGGACTTTGATGCCTTCGGGTGGCCGCGCCAGGCTGGGAAGGACACCAATACTGTTGATAAGTATCCCTTACGCATATGCCCGGCTTGGGTGTGCCGCAAATGCCGAGCGCCGTGCCCCTCTGCAGAGATCGCTAGGAAACATCGGTCGGTCAAGGGACAGTGCCCTTCTCGCACTGCTAAGGCGAGGGCGTGGATTCGGTTGCGCTCCCTTGCTGCCAATAAGAAGCTTCATGATGCTGCTCCTGCCTCTGTTCGCAAAGAGCAAGGTGAGCTCGCCTTCGCTGCTGCTGAAAAGGCCTTGCGAGCCCCCATGTCGTCGGTGTGATTCGACTTTCGTGCTTGAATGTTCACCGGCGTGGCACGTCGTCGGTGGGGCTGCTCGATGCTCTGCTTCGGCAAGGCCCCCCACAGATTGTGGCTTTGTCCGAGGTCAATGTTCCTGAAACGGCTGGCATCGGCTATCGCAACCAGTGGAAAGCGCATGGCCGGCATGTTGCTCTGAGTGCTCCTGAGGATCTCGGCAGCCGGGTTGCTTTGGTCAGCGATTTTCCTTTTCGGCATGTCCAGCTGTGTAAGGGTCCTGCTTCCACCAGGCACGTGGCGGGACTCTTCAATGTGCGATCCCTCCCTGAGGATGATTCTTCGCTCCCTGCGAGCTCCCGGAGTGCCACTGATGAAACCATCCTGGTGGTGGCCTTTTATGGCCAGGCCGGCAACGAGCCAGTTGCCCAGACACAAGTGGATGAGGTTTTGGAGTGTGCGGTTGCCTCGGGTTATAGGTTTGTGGTTTTGGGCGACTACAACCTTGAGCCTTCCCAAGGCCGCTTAGGATCGCTAATTTCGCAAGGCACCGTGCTTGCTGGTGATGAATGTGCGCGTGGCCGGCCCCTTCCTGCCACGGGCCCGGTCAATGCCCAAGGAGTGCGCTCTCGTCGCATTGATTTTGCTGTTAATCATCGTGACTTGCCTGCGGTTTCTGTGGATCACTTTACGTGCGATTTTTCGGACCACTTGGGGGTACACTACTCGTATGCCCTTGATGCTCCTTGTCCCTTGGTTGGGCCCAAGCGATGTAAGCCTCGTGATGATCTCCAGTCTTCTGACTTGGAGTCCAGATGTGCTCAAATTGATGCTGGACCCTTTGCGAGCGCCTTGGAACAGAATGATTTGGACGGGGCTTGGCGCTTCTTGTCGGACACCGCCGAGCTTCTGCTGTGTGAGCCGTGCTCTGCAGAGTGCGTTCCTCGCGCGTCTTCCTGGGAGCCTGTCGCCCACAGTGCGGCGGGACGGGCTGGCAAGCAGCTTGTGAAGTCGGAGGGCCTGCGCCTTTTGCTGCGACTCCGTGCGAGGCTTCAGGTTCTTTCCCACCGGACGAACGATGCTTTGCTGGTGGCGCGAATCAGGCGCTCACTCCGGTCCACGCGCTTGAAGGTGCCCAGCCTGCCTTTTGCCCGTGATGGCGATGAGCTCTCTCTTCTCCCACATGTTGCACAGCTCGTTGAGACTTTCATGCAGCAGGAGGAGGAGGCAAGAAAGCAGATGTGGCGCACCAGGACGCGTGCTGACCTGCCTCGTGCCCGGTCTTTTGTGAAGCGGCGCGCTGATGAGCAGCTTGCTTGGGAGCGTCAGCTTCCGGATGTTGCCAGTCCGGGCGACCCTGCACATCCGGCGGTCGCGGTTGCAGCTGTGGCAAAGGACCTGCGGGCGAAGCTCTGTCCCGCGTCCTTTAGGGCGGTTGACATGCAGGCCATGCGTGATCTGTTGCGGCCCCTGCCGCGCCCCGCAAGCTCGGAGGTCGTGCCTAACATCACGCCAGAGGCTCTCCGACGCTCCATGCAGTCCATGAGGCACCGTGCTGCCGGGCCGGATGCGTGGAAACCTGGACTGCTATGTTCCATGCCTGATCTTTGGTGGGTGTGGACCTCCCAGCTGTGGAATCGGTGCCTTGCTTGTTGTGACGTCCCCGCCCAGTGGGCACAGGCACGTGTGGTGATGATTAAGAAAATCAAGGGGGGCTTCAGGCCGTTAACCATCTCTCAAGCTGTCTGGCGTGCGGGAGCAAGGATTTTGAATACCCAACTCTCCGACTGGATAGGTTCTTGGAGCTCTCCGTCGGATGCCGGTGGCATCCCGGGCACGTCGGTGTCGGGTGCCCTGCTTCAGCTGAATGCTGCAATGCGCGGTGGCGCTAACGTTGCGGTTCAACAGGACATTGCGGGGTTCTTTGATGCCATCCAGTTTGAAGCCCTAGAGGTCCTCCTTTCTCATTTGAAAGCGCCGCCTTTCCTTTGGCCGCTGCTGAAGGCCTTTTACACGCGAGCTTCGCGCATCGTCCAACTTGACGGTGCATACAGTGATGCCTGGTTTAAGCCCCGCTTGGGTATAGCTCAGGGTTGTCCCTTAAGTCCCACCCTTGCTGCCGCATTTAGCCACCTTTGGACCTCGGCTGTGTTGAGGCAAGGGGTTTCAGGCCTGGTCTACCTGGACGACCGGTCCTTCTGGACTTTCTCTGCGGATCTTGGCGACCTGGAGCATGCGATTCGGCGCTCCGACCGATTCGATGCCACTTGTGGTCTTGAAATTTCCCTGCCAAAGTGTGCGATCGTGGCGCCGGAGGGTCATGTCGAGGCCTCTGCTCTGGCTGCCCGATTCAACTATCAGTTTTCGCAAACCCTTGAAGTCTTAGGTGTCACTGTTTCCTTTAATGATGAATGGGGCTTGCTGAAATTTTCCTTGAGAAAAGCTTTGCTGCGCATGGACCTTTTGCGCTGGGTGACCGCTTGCAGTCGACTGCGGGCCCTCATGCTGAAATCACTTGTTTACCCGTGCTTGGTGTGGGCCGCTGCCTATGCCACGCCACTGGCAGGCGAGATGAAGCAAGTTAGAGATGCTGCGATTCGTGTTTTTGACTGTCAATTTTCCTTTGAAGCCCCGCGTGTCCTGATCTTCGAACATGTGGGGTGGATGCTGGAGCCACAGTGCGCTGCTGACTCTGCCGTGATCCGCGAGGCTTGGCGCCTCCTCTGCAAGCCTCCGGCCTTTGCTCTGGATCAGCCGCGTGATGCCCGGGGCCAGCGCTGGGATCAGCTGTTGCCTGCTGCGCCTGGCCTCCTTCGCAAATTGGGGTGGAGCGTTGTTGAACGCCCTGATGGCTTCTTTTTCGCCTGCCGTGATGACTTAGGGATCTCTCGTGAGGTGCAGGTCGGATGGGAGAGCTTTGCTGAGGTTAAGGGCTGGCTGTTTGACCATTACCGGCACCTTTACATGCAGAGATGCCAGCGCGTCTGGCGGAGCTATCATAGGCCGGACCCGAGCCTTGCACGCGGCCTGGATCTGGCACCTCCGTCGCGGGATGCGCGCTTCAGCTTTCGTGGGCACCGCGTTGCCATGCATGAGGCGACCACTCCTTATATGAGACGGGCTGCTGCTGTCACGGGAGGCTCGTGCTGGTTCTTTACGGCCGGGCAGGGCTTGAACGAGCAGCATAGGCGCATGCAGTGCCTCTGCGGAGCGACTGCTCCGTCGCGACCGCATGTGACCTGGGTTTGCGAGTGCACCGAGGCGCTCCGGCGGGATCACCCCCCTCCGACGAATCGGGCGGAGGAGCGCATGTTTGCCAAGTCGACTCCCTTGAAACCTCCGGCGCCTGCCGCCTCTGACTGTGGGGCTTTTCGGGCGGACCTGGATGCTGCTTTCCGTGTTGCCCTCGGCTCTGGCAGGAGCAGGGTTTATGCGGCTACTGATGGCTCCAGCCATCGATTTGTCGGTGCTTATGCGGTGGTGATTGGCGATCCGTCTTGTGCTTATGCCATGGGCACTGGGGCAGAGGATCAATCCCCGTATCGGCAGGAAGTTCTGGCCCTCCACGCGGCCTTTGCTTCGGTCCACCGGGTGTGGAGTGAGGGCTGTGAGACGTGCATCTTCATCTTGACCGACTGCAAAGCTGCCCTGACGGCCATCTCGGGCCATGGTGATGATCCCTTTAAGTTGGGTCTCTTGCTGAGGGACGCGCGCCGTCTCTGGAAGGAACTGCTGAGGCGCGGCTGTGCTATCTCCTTGATTTGGGTGCCGTCGCATAATAAGCACCCCCGCTGGCGGCCTTCGTCGGATCACGATGCGGATGTGCTCCGCGCCTTTAACCATGCTGCAGATCAGGCGGCGGGCAATTGCATGCAAAACAGGCTCTCGGGCTCTCTCAGGGAGCGATGGCATCAGCAGTGTGAGCAGGCTCGGGACTGGGAGCTGGCTACCATCAGACTTGCGGCTGCTGCTGCCGAGAAGCTGGACACACATGTGAAAAGTGTTCCCCTTGATGATGCTGAGCCCGCAGGGGCTGGGCCTTGACTAGTTTGGCCGCACCAGAATGCTCTATGACTACTTACCTTTGGCTCCTCAATTCTTTGATTGCCCTTGGTATGTCTTTCGTGTGTGTGCAGCTTGCGCTTTCATGTGCCGGGCGGAACGAACTTTCACTCCCTGCCCCTTCCCCTTCGGGTTTGCTTGGGTTTAGGCCTCTTCTTTCCCCTAGTGGATCCCGTGTGCACCTGGCGTAAATTCCTCTATGCATGAGCGCGGCCTTGCTTTTTGCGTGGTGCTGCTGCTATTGTGTGGAGCTCGCTTTCCCAGGCCTCCGAGACTCCGCGATGCTTTTGCCTCCCCTTTGGGTTTCTCGGGTTTAGGCCCCTCTCCCCTCGGGGTACTCTTGTGCATCTTGCGTGAGCTCAGGCCCTTCTACTGAGCGCGGCTATGCTTCCTTGTGTGGCGATGCTGCTGCCGGCGGGAGTCCCTGATTCTGGGATGATTCTTGTAACAATCCTTTGCTGACCTTGCTAGGGCCCATCCGCTTCTACCGGGTGAGAGCTTCGAACCACTCCGAGCGCTGCTGGCTTGGCTCCTGCTTGGCTCTGCTGCTGCTGGTGTGGGTTCGTTTCTTTAGGCTGGTCCTCTCCTTTTGGGTTTTTCGGGTTTAGGCCCTTCCCTCCCCTTAGGAACCCTGTGTGCAAATGAGGTGCGCTTTGGCCTCTCGCCGAATGCTTATGCTCTACTAGGGCTGCTGGTGCTGGCCCGGGTGTTTTCGCATTTAATACCTTTCGCGCGTGATGCCTCACGATTTCTTGACTTTCACGTGGCATCCTTTCTTGACGGCCCTTGTTCCCTTTCGGGTTGTTCGGGTTTAGGCCCTGTCCCCTTCCCTAGGGGTTCCTGTGTGGACTGGCTGTGCTCTGGGCGTAAACCGAGAGCGGCACTGCTCTGCCTCTTTGGTCTGGCGCTGCTGCTGCTGGTTTGGGCTGCTGGCTCACCCTTCCTCCTCTTCTTCGTCTACTACAAGGGCGGCTGCTGTGGGCTGCGGAAGCGAGGTCCTCTGAGCTCCACCGACGACGCCTTCTGAAGTGACGTGAGAGCCTCCCGTGTAGTTTTGAGTTCTTTTCGGATTTGTAGCCCTGCTGCTCCGAGCTTTTGGGCCTGACTCGTAGCTTTGCTGCTCAGGCCATGTCGTTTCGAGCTTCTTTCCGAACTGTTAATTGCTGCTCGGAATGTTTCCGGATGTGATTGCGTTGCTAATCCGATACATCCAATTCGTTGCTTTTCACAAGAGGAGGTACATGTCAGACGGACTGCGGCTTCCTGACTTCCCTCCCATTCAACGTGTGGCGAAGGCTCTCAATGATGCCTCGTCTCTTTGTTAATAGTGTCGCTGAGAATCATCGCTATGGACTTGTGCTGCACAGCTTCGCACTCTCCTAGATGAATCAGCATGTTGCGGGATGTTTCACCCGACCCGCGAGGACCTCGGACAGCAGCTGAGCGGTCTTCTCGAAGTCGCTCAGCCCCCAGACCACCGGAAATTCTGGAGTTTTGTGGAAGGCACGTTTCCGCTTGCGGATAACTCTTTCCACTTAAACTACAAGGTTGTTTTATTTGGGGGTAATCTTTAACCCTCAAAATGGCGACAACCGAGAACCGACTGATTGCATCGTTTCAAACTTTTAATTTTGTGTGAAAGCATGATTTTTTCACACAAAGCTTTTCCCTCTTTACAACGGCTTCATGCAGTGCTTCTCACGCATGTCGAAGTTCTGAATCTTTCAATGCACCGGCGGTTTTTACAGATCAAGTGGCATTTTGTCACTGGGGAAAATTTTTGTCCCGCCCACCCACTCCTAGGGGGGCAATCGGGTGCTTAGCACATAGCGGAATCTCTTTACCGCAAGCCACTTGTGTGGAATCGCATCCACACGTGACATGTAACCAGCTCCAATACTTATTATATTCTTGGGCACTTTACGTATTGAGCCCGGATACCGATTTCCAGACTTTTGTGCAATATACGGTTCTGGAGTTTTGTGGAAAGCTGGCATGTCGGATCACAGAAGGAAGATCCTTCAACCCAAACGTATCTTGTTGTTCGAAGAGATGCTGCGAGACATTGGGTATGATGATATGGGTGTGGTTCAGGAACTCATCGACGGAGCCACCCTGACGGGGGACATTCCTATCACTGGGGTGCTGGATACCAAGCTCAAGCCTGCTAGGTTGGATACTGAACAGCTTTTGGGGATGTCTGATGAAATCAAACAGCAGATCCGGGCGAAGACTGGTTCATCGGGTGATAAGGAAATTGACCAGCTGTTGTGGGACAAGACGATGGAAGAGGTGCAGAGTGGATACCTCTCGGGACCTTATGATTTCGAGTCATTGCCGAAACGATGTTTGGTCAGCTCCCGTTTCCCGCTCCTACAAGGGGAGAAGCTGCGACCTATTGACAACTACTCATCGAGTTTGATTAACGATACGGTCACAGTCTCTGAAAAGCCCATCACGCACTCTATCGACGAAATTGCTATGTTGATAAATACACTTTCGAGTGCTGCTCGAAAGAAGAACTTGAACGCACTGTACGGGAAAACGGCGGATCTGAAGGGAGCTTACAGACAATTGGCGGTATCCGATACGAGCTTAGATTTTTCTTACCTCTCGGTTTACGACCCGGCAGAGGAGAAGCCCAAGTTGTTCCAACAACTAGCTGTGCCCTTCGGCTCAACCAAGGCCGTGTATTTTTTCCTCAGAGTGGCGAGAGCTCTTTGGACTATCTTGGTCAAAGGGGCCAGGATCCCGACCACGAATTATTTCGACGACTTTGTTCTGCTCGCTCTTGGAGGAGATAGGAGTTCGTGTTCGCACGCTTTCGATGAAGTTATGAAGCTGCTAGGTTGGAAGCTGTCAGCTGACAAGACAACGGAGTGGAACACTAGCTTCGAGGCCCTTGGCGTACTTTTCGAGCTTGACCAGACGGGGTCCGGAGTTCTGAAGGTCAGGAACACTGAGAAACGACGCAAGGAACTTACTGCTGCGATTAAAGGTTTCCTGGACAAGGGAACCATGACTCAGAAGGAAGCGCTACAACTGCGGGGTAGGCTGCAGTTTGCTCAAGCCCAATTTGTCGGTAGGCTGGGAAGAAGGTGCCTGACGGAGGTGACAAAGCATGCCTACACTGGCAGGTCGAAGCTTTCGTCGATGGCCAAGGAACGACTTGAAGAGTTTGGTAAGTTCCTTGACATGGCCCAACCGAGGTTAGTGGGACAAGTTTCATGCAGGACTTTTATGATCCTTACAGATGCGGCGTTTGAAACGGAGTCAGGAACCGGAGGCCTGGGGGGCGTCCTTCTCACCGGGTCAGGATCGGCACTCTCTTTCTTCAGTGTGCCGATCTCAGAGCAGCAAGCCAAGTCTATGTCGTTGCAAGATGAGCATACCATCATATATGAGCTCGAAATGTTCGGGGTCTTGATCGGTCTCAAGCTCTTGGTCGAAAAGACAGCTGCTTTCGCAGAATCATACGAACAGCCAGGTGCTGTTGCTGGGACTGGAGTGATTTGTTATATCGATAATGATGCAGCGAGACATGCATACATCGCCGGCTCTTCGAAGAAAGGGGTTGCGGGGATTCTGATCGATGAAGTCAATTTCCTGGAGTATGTCCACGGCATCTTGCCGTGGTATGCGAGAGTGGCATCACCTGCTAATCTGGCAGATGAACCATCGAGGATGAAACTTGATAGAGTCAAGAGGCTAGGATTCAAAGACGAGTCTGTCGAGGCGACCAAAGCGGTGTTATCGATTGTGAAGAGGGTTTCGAATCTGCCTGCTTAACACTGCGACTCCTGGAAGTGGGGACGAAAAGAGTCTTGTGTCTCACAGGACCGACAGTTCGAAGTTTTCTGCCGTGTGCGGTACTTGCTACCCCACCGTGTGAAAATAGCGTCGAGCTTTGAACTACTTGCATGTGACATGTGCGAGTGCAAGCATTCATCCCTGAAGGTTCAAACATGATAGACATCAAAACACAAAGCACGATCTTTGAACGATAAGTTACATTCTTTGAACACTTGCAGAAGATATGGCTTTATCGTTCGAAGAAAAACAACATGACAAAATGGCTCAGAGAACTGAGTCCAATTTTGATTTGTTGTTTTAGGGCTTTTCTTTCACACTGCCTTTTTATGAACCCTCATTTATACATGCTGTAAACAAGTTGAAGAACACATTCGTCCGTTGCAGCTTGACCTCTCGAAGGGGCAGGAAGCCCTGAATCGGGCGAGAGTTTTATTTGAAATACCCACCCTCTCCACCCTAATTGATTCGTGGAAAGTGCAGAGATTGCATCAGTGTTGTGCTACCTCAGGAAGCTTTTGACCTCAGTTTGAGGACACTCAGGTATGCTTTATGCATAAGACCTGGTTCGGGTCTTGGCTCTCTGCTTCGCAGTTTGCTCGGTCTTGCTCGTCTTCGACTGGCAGGCCGTTCACTAAGGTTCAGTTTGTGAGCCGTGCACGGCTTGAGAGTGGCTAGTTCTCCTTTCGGAGGGGACGAAAAGAGTCTTGTGTCTCACAGGACCGACAGTTCGAAGTTTTCTGCCGTGTGCGGTACTTGCTACCCCACCGTGTGAAAATAGCGTCGAGCTTTGAACTACTTGCATGTGACATGTGCGAGTGCAAGCATTCATCCCTGAAGGTTCAAACATGATAGACATCAAAACACAAAGCACGATCTTTGAACGATAATGGGGCCCGGTCCTTTAGGCCCCCTTAGGTTACCTTTAAGGGTTGACGGAACACGTTGAGGACCCTTGTGGCCCCTGCTGCGAAGACAGTGTTAATCCAGCCCTGGCCATTCGGCTTTGCGGCGGCATGCGTGTCTGGATGCTTTGCGCGCTCGGAAGAGTGAAGGTGCCGGTGCGTTTAAGCATTCCTCATACCGCTGTATTGCCACAGCATTTTGGCTCGATTCGCGCTGACTAGCAATGGCCGTGCTTCCCGAAAACCTCATGGTTCAGGTCCTCCAGGATCTCTCTGGGCGTTACTACCTGCAGTTGATTTTTGGTGCCCCCCCATCGAACGCTGCTGGACACCTGTTGTCCATGATGGGCCCGCACGAACGACGGGCCGCTGAGGTGGCCCTGCGGCGGCAGCTGGCTGGGTATCAAGATCGTGTCTCTGCCTCCCTTGCGCAGCGCACTTTCAGGCGAGTCTGGGTAGACAAGAGCTTTCAGATGATCGTTCGACTCGGATTCCAGGTGCGAGTTACCATCTTGCAAGTCGACTTCGTGGCCCTCCTTGCGTGGGCTTCTACGTCGCGGCGTGCATGTCAATGTGTACTTGCACTCTACGAGGGCACTGCTTTCTTTCGTGCTGAGGCCATCAGGCAAGCCGTCGCGGCTATGCAACCCTATGCTGTTAGTTGGCCCGGACTGGCGCGCCGGCTCTACTTTCCCCTGGAGCAGCTTGCTGAGCTCCCTGTCACGCGGCTGCGCTCGCCGTTTTTGGATTCAACTCTGCTTCGCTGGGAGGCCAGCAACTCCGCCTGACCCTCGGCATGACGCCGACTATGCGGTCTATATGTCTGGGAGCTACGTAGTGGCGCCCGGCTCGACCCTGTCCTAGATAGGGTTCTTGGGCTTGGCGGCCACTGCCCCGGTCAACCCTGCCCTTGCCAGCGTTAGGTCTGCATTCCGCCGCCTGGTGTGATACCATTCACATCCTCGCTGCCGTGTCGGCCTTTATAGCACTGGTTAGAAGGCAAGCCATGGCCACGATTCCGGAGACTCTTGTGGCGCCAATCGTCACGTATGTGTCGGTGCATCCGATGTCGGTGCTCTTTGGAGCTCCGCCGTCAGCTGCCACTCGGCGGGTGCTTCGCGCCGTTGATACATAGGAGCGAAAGGCTGCGGGCCTCGCCCTTCGGCAACAGTTTGCAGAGTATCACAGCCGTGTCTCTGCGTACTTGGCGCAGCGCACTCTCTACAGTTTTCGTGTTGCGACCGATTTCCAATTGATCGTGCGACTTGGCTTTCAAGTGCGCGCCACCATTTTTCAGATTGATTTTGAGGCTTCAGTGGTGCTCGCTTCGGTGTCCCGCCTCGCCTATAGGACGGTTATTAGGCTTTACGAGGGCTCGGACTTCTTTCGCGCTGCGGCCATCCAGTCTGCACTTATTGACATGCAGCCCTGGGCGTTGGGATGGCCTGGGCTGCGGTGCCTGCCTTATTTCTCCATGGAGCCGTTGGGCGATCTCCCGCTTACGCGTCTGCGACCGCCGCTGCCGGTCTGCGCCCCAGGAGTAAGCTCTGTGTGCCCCCGCCTTTCATCTTTGCCCTTGCGATACCCACACATGGGAACCTGGGCTTGGTGTGCAAGCGGGGCCAAGACCTGGCTGGTTAGCCAACATGGCATTTACCCTGCGGCGTGGTTGGTTGAATTGCGCTCGTACTGTGCTGCCCTTGCGAGACCCACCATGTTGGGAAGCTGGGCCTGGATCAAAGTGCTTGTGTTTGCTGGTTGGTGACACCGGCACGCGCTCCTTGGGCGACTTCAACCCAATACCTTACCTTTCTGGCATGCTTGTTCTCCTGGGAAACTTCATGGCGGGCCACAAAGGACTTTCTACCTTTGTTCAAGAGCTAGCACACAGCCGATGGCTCCGCACGGCGGGCACACTGCAGCAGCATGCTTTGGTGTAAATTGCGCATCTGCCCTTGCGAGACCCACGATACTGGGAAGCTGGGCCAGTTTATCTTCTACGCATTTGCCACTGGAACATGCTGCTTTGTGGATGCTTGTATAAAAACCGCTCCGTCCTGGCCAACAAGACACCTGAGTGAAGCTGCGCTTTGAAAGGCCGAACGATCCCTGCTGGCTAAGTCTGCAAGTCGCGGCCGGTTTCACCCTTACATGATTCTCTTGTACAGCTCCTTATTGTTTTCTTGTAGTTCTTACTGGGACCGAGTGCAGCAACTGCTGTCTTTGAGGCCCGTCCACGCCAAAAAAAGAAGAACCCGGGTTCCAGCTATTTTGGAGACGAAGTTGTTCAACCCAGGTTCAAACTGGGTTTGAAATTTATTTTCACTTGTGCGGTTTGGGTTTGGAGTTGAAGGTTTACGGTTTAGGCGGCTTCAAAGGCGTGGAAAGTTTGCAATTTACAAAAAGCGGGGGGGTGGGGGGGGCGCAGCCCCCCCCATTTAAGCTTCTAAGAGCGGGCCCGCTGAGCGATTTATGCGGCCTTTGTGTGTCTCTGAATTTTAATGTTTCTGCTTCGGATTTATTCGCTTTTAACCCCGTTAAGCGATTTCGTTGGTTTCTCCTTTCGTGTCGAAAAAAGTCCTCTTCAGGTCGCTTCCTCAGGCCTCCGTTAAGCCTTTCTTCCAACCAATCCTAGGCCTGCTTTGAAGCCCTCCTGGGTTTAACCTGGGTTTGAACCTGGGTTGTGCTTTAAACTTGGGTTCCAAACCTGTTTAAACCTGGGTGCTTTAAACTTGGGTTCCAAACCTGTGTTAGAACCTGGGTTTCAAACCTGCGTTCAAACCTGGGTTATAACCTGGGTGTAAACCTGGGTTTTAAACCCGGGTTCCAAATCTGGGTTAGAACCTGGGTTTCAAACCTGGGTTGATTTTGGGGCCGTCCTTTGCTGCCCATTTGGCTAGATATTCAAGTGTGCCATCGCTCGGCTCAGTCTTCACGCATTTTTGGCCGAACGATCCCTGCTGGTTAAGTCTGCAAGTCGCGGCCGGTTTCACCCTCTTAACTTGATTCTTCTTGTACGCTTCTTTATTGTTATTCTTGTAGTTCTTACTGGGACCGAGTGCAGCAACTGCTGTCTTTGAGGCCCGCCCACGCCAAAAAAAAAGTTTGGAACCTGGGTTTAACCTGGGTTTTAACCTGGGTTAAACCCGGGTTCATTAAACCCGGGTTCCAAACCTGGGTTAGAACCTGGGTTTCAAACCTGGGTTCAAACCTGGGTTATAACCTGGGTTTAAACCTGGGTTTAACCCGGGGTTGAACCCAGGTTCGAACCCAGGTTTAACCCAGGTTCAAACCCAGGTTCAAACCCAGGTTAAACCCAGGTTTCAAACCTGGGTTCCCTGGGTTGTTGTTGTTGTTCCCCCCCCCCGGGGGGAGGGAACCCAGGTTCAAACCCAGGTTCAAACCTGGGTTAAACCCCGGGGGGGGGGGACCAGCCTCGAGCGTCGAAACCATCTGGCCACATCGTGGGCATGGAGACTCGCGATTGCCTGTCAACCGGCAATGCGAAGTGCGTGTCAGAGCAGGCGCTTGGATGGCTGTTTCTGATGGCCAGTGCGCTTAGAGTGCGCAGTGAAGATTCTCAGCAGTGTAATGCATCTAAACAGCGTCAGAGCTGAGTACCAACGTGGAGTTCGTGCATGCTGGGTGCTGTGTGAAGTCTTCGCCGACCAGTAGGTGCTATGGCCACTGCTGACGCATCTAAAAGGCAAAAGCACCAGATGGAGTGTGGAGCTGCCCAGAATGTGTCCAGTTGGAAAGTTCTGTTCAGTTCGCAAAGTTCCTGCAAGTGGCAACCTCAAAGAGAGAAAAGCCGGCCTTCTTGAGGACAGTCCAATAGAAGGCTCCTCGGTTGCTCTTTTCGGCATGCCGGGAACAATCAACCATGGCTCTTCGTATTGTTGGAGCTCCGACATGAAATGGCTCGACTGGATGGCCGCAAACGCGCACCAATGTAAAAGACGAGTGCCGAAGAAGGTCTTGCAGCATGGTCCGTTGTACAGAGAAACCCCGCTTGCGACATTAAAGGGTCAGCCAAATGAGCCTCCTGGATGATGGCTTGGTGCATGTATGGCTAACAAACTTGTTCATCAAAACAATTGAGTTTTCGGGTTCAGGGTGTTTCATGAACGCTTGTTTTCAGCGGCGAACATTTTCAACATGAAAACCGATATGCCGGTATACTGCGATTACAAGCATGACTTCGCTGGACAGTTGGAGTCTGCATTGTCATTTTGAAAGATCATCCACTGAACCCATCAAGCAAGGTTTTGCAACTTGACCGAAGCCTCGTGAAGTTGCTGTGCTGCTTGCTTGATTCCTTATGGCTCTGTCCGAAGAAGTGATTTTGTCTTGGTGTTGGCTGCCGCTGGTGCTGGTAAAGTTGCCGACAGGATTGCTTGAGATCTGCAAAGGTGTCGTTGCTGTCACTGTTGTTCAGCAGGATGTTGGTGAAGCTGCTCTTCACTGCGTGTCTACTACCAGGTGGATTCGTTGGCATCTTAATGTGGGACACATGGGGCTGACTTGTGCCGTCGTGACAGCAGTGGCAGAGACTTGTCTTGCTTTCGAACGTGTCTTTGTCACCAAGGCTTGGACGGCAAGCCGCCAGACTGTTCCTGACACCGCATCCCATTCGTCGGGAAAGGTGAACGAGGTGCAGCTTGCACAGCTACGAGGCTCGACATGGTGTTGGGCATGCCGCGAAACCTGCATGTTGCCTTCAAGTGTTCTAGAAAGCTTGGCGTGGCCAGGCCTCTGTGTTGGAACTTCTTGTTGCCACATTGAGAAAATCGCAATGAATTCTTGGACCTGGCTGCAAGGTGCTGAGAGCCGATTCAATCCTGAAGAGAGCGCCACACTGCCCACATGGGCACGCACTTTGGTTGCACGTACTTGACGTCTCAGTCGCAAGCACTCTGAATGGCAAGTGCTGGCCAGCAGGCGCAGGACTCGCAGCAGTTGCTGTTTTGGCCGCAGTGGTGCTCAGCCCACGTGCTGCCTTCGCCGAGTCGGAGGTCAAGATGTATGTGGGTCAGGCGGCGTTTTGCGTCGCATGGAGGGTTCAGAAGTGGTAAGACTGGTAAGAGACACATTTCGCCGTGTAATCGCCGCAGGGGTGCTTCTGGCATGTGCAGCACGAGGTGGTTAAGCAAGAGGCGTCCTGCTTGCATCATCATGCATCTAGCAAACCTGTTGTGATGTCACTGTGTATGCGAGGCTTCAGATCTCGGTCGCCAGCCCACGGAGATCACAGCACTTTCAGGATATGCTGGGGGCACCGAGGCGGGGCCTTGGCGTGGTTCGAGCTGAGATACCAAATGCACCCACAGAAGGTTCAACACCAAGGAAACTCAGCATGTCTTGTACTGTCGAGAGCACCGATATCACTGATACCGCATCGCAGGGTCTAGAACGTAGGAGGTCGACATTCGGTGCAGTGTTTCTGTTTCATCAGCTTGTAGGGTTTCGTATGCTTAGTCAGTAAGTCAAGTAACAGGGTTGTGTTGGGGTGAGGCTCTCGATTTCAGGAATCACGGCACAGGATTTCTGTGAAGTTGCTTTTCTGGCAGGGGGTTATTATTGGTCAAGATCATGGACCAGAGCTTTGGTTTACTAGAGTTACTAGTGTGTGGATGGACAGCAGGCTTCGTTGATGGTTCAAGGAGGGCGGGTCTAGAGAGTGAAGGTTCAGGCTTCGGGCCTCAAGTTTAAGACCGTCAAGGTGATCAGAGGTTATTGGAGTCTTGGCCTCAGGATTTTCTGGCTTCAGAGAGGTTAAATTGGAGTGTGGGGTTTAGGGTCTATCTGGGCTCGTATGGCCGAAGTGGCTTTCATCGGGCTTCGAGGGGTTTGGGGTTATCGTTTGTATGGAGCGGATGTTTTGCTTTGAATTTGAGGGTTTAGGGGAGCATCAGTCGGCAGAAAGGTTTGCGAAGCTGCCAACAGACTTGAATGGTGTTGAGAGACGCAGAAGGTCGAGACCTGCTTGTTGGTTTGCAAGCGACCTGTGGTCTTGGTCTGGGTCCTCGGTGTTGTCCGTTTTCAGTTTTATTCCTTAAACAGTGTGGTGCATACTATGCGGTTGTAACTTCTTACACTAACGTTTACGGCGAAGAGGATTTGACTGGCATGGGTGCGTGGTGTGCATCGCCGGGAGGTTGCCCAGGACATGGCTTCTGCTGTGGTGCGGCGCATGTTGTGTGCTTACGTCCTACTGTTTGCTCGGGATCTGTCGGCCGCCGTCTCCCCGAAAGCCGAATTCATTGTGAGTTGCAAGACGTTGGCCACCTTGCTTGCTTCGAAACGATAAACGCCAGCAGCCGTCCTCCCAAATATGGCGGGGAAGCCTTAATGCAATAGTCCTGAATTCCGCCTGCTGATGGGGGGAAGCATGGAGCATGCTGGCCGTGCTCCCGTCGTGGTTGCGCCTGTGGATGCCACCAAGTTGAGTCCGTGGTCTCTGGTGGTTGAGGTGGTCCTGCTGGTCATGGCGGTCTTGGTCTGGGGATCTACGCTGGCACAGTTCTGTTTGTGTCTCTTTGCTTAGACGACCGGGGTGGTGGCGGCTCGGGTTCAAGTCCACATGTTCAAGACAGCAGTCCCTTCCCACCCCTGATGTGCGTCCGCACAACTTCCCCTAAGCTGAACAGGTGGGCGGCAATGGGGAGGTGTGCTATCACAACATGGCTATGGCTCCTGACTATGGCCGGATGGGCCACACCGAGGTGCCTTTCTTGAAAGGAGTGGCGTACCCGTTTTTATCCCGTGTTTATCGCGAGGTGGTGAATGTCTCCGTCCCCGAGGGAAAGGTCGGTGCCTTTGCCAAGGCACGGCCCGGGCCAAAGGGCGAATTTGCAGAAAGTGCACTCTCTCTGCACTTTTTCAGGCGTACTTCGATGCTGCAGCAAAGTACCCTTTTGGCCGCGCAGATCCTCAGGCAACCTTCCTGCGGCGAAAGCCTGTTCATCTTCGCATCTTAGCAGTAACATCTTGTCAATGCCTCATTTTGTCGACATGTTGACGTCTGCTGTCATGCGGAAAGGACCGCGGAACGGAGTACCGCTCGGCCATTGGGATTCCAGGCCATACCGTCCAGAGAAGGTTGCGTTTAGTAATGCATCCCAGAATCCGCCCCATGTGCGCAGCTGTGCTCGTGTCAAGGTATGCGTTAAGATTCTGTTGAGCAGCTCCTGTGCACAGGTCGGTTTCTTAAGCAATGCCTTATGGTTGCCAATATTCTTCCATCAGGCAGTAGCCACACAGTTGCGGATTGCGCAGAGCCTTGCAACATTTCCAGTATTCATGCATACTGATGCCACTGCCCTCTCGACGAAATCTGCTGCCACGGGAGATTTCGTTAGATCTCAAGTGGTACGCGTGGAACCAGATCTGGCACAATGTGAACTGTCGCCTGGCCTCCTGCTCTGAGCCTGGTCAGTCCCATGAGCTCTGGCAGAAACGACAGAGGCAGGGTGAGCAAGATCAGAAGCGTGCGGTCGAGCACTACACGAAGGCCAAAGAATGTCAGGTGCTGGAGGATGCCACACTGGAGCAGTTTAAACGCCAAGTAGATGCCGTAGCCACCACCAGTGCAGAGGGGGCCTTAGAGGGAAAGTGGCTTGGAACCTCGAAGGCCGAAGTGCTTCCTGCTCCAGACGAATTGGAACCAAGAATGTGGCTGGAATTGGTGAAAGGTATCAAAAGTGCAGCCATCGCTGTTATCCTGTTGTCACACGAGGAAGTTCAAAAGGCTGTGGCGGTGCAGCTAGACTTCGATGATGCGTGGTCCATGCACTCGGAGAAGACCGCAGATCCATCAGTCTCGAAATGAGATCCATCTTTGTTCTTCCGGTGCAGCGGACAGGCATGCTGCATGTCCACTGCCCAAGAGCATCGGATTTGCACGGGTGCAACATGCATCTGCAGGCTGTACAGGACTGCTGCAAATTCTCTGAATCCGGTAAAAGGAAATCTCACGGCAAATGGGCTTCTCAAAGGAAATCTTGTGTGCACAGGCGGCATGGATGGACCTTTATTCAAGGAGGTCGAAGCTGCCAACAATGGCCGGCTTCAGTTAGTTCGCGGTCAGGACGGGGGCTGTCAGAAATCAGCTGAGTTGATGTCAGAGAACGACTGCCTTACAATTTCCACTTCTCGTCACATGGTGACGGCATGACTGACATTTTGTGACGTAATATTGTTCACATGGATGCTGCTGCAGGGCAATGATGCAGACACCGTCGGTACGAAGAAAGTGTGGGTGAGCTGGCTTTAGCTTTGTATCTGTGTAGGCCTGATCAACCGAAGAAGGTTCAGAAGAGTGCTGTTCTTGCCATGCCGAGATTTACGACTCGAACAGCTTTCCCTTCCACCAGGGTGAGGCGGGCGGCACGGGAAAGCGCTGAATCTTCGACTTGTCTGGCTTGTTAATAAAGACAGCTGTGTTCTGCTTTCTGTCGCGAACTTGCAAATGCCACTGTGACAGATCTACCATCAATTCCATGACGATATGCTCGAGAGATACCCGCAGGCGCAATTTGAAGTTGTTGTGAGTTCATAGCACCATTGTGTCTTGCTGGTTGCTCGAAAGCTCCAGGAGTACCACAAGCTGAAGAAAGTCTTGGTTGCTCAAGGAACAGTTCAAAAGGCAGCTGCCGTATTCCTCAGAGCGTGCTGGTGCGGAAATTTGTTGATATCTGTTGCGTGCAGGTCGCCTGCCCGGAGATGGGCTTCTGAGTTGCGATGAGGTGTCCTGTGTGCATTTCAAACACATGACCCTTGGCACAACTCTTAGCTGCACGCATGCTGGGTGTGCTCGACCCCAGCTGACATGAAACTGCTTGTACAGAAGAAACTGTTTACTCTTTTCGCGCATTTTCTCTTCGGCGCCCAACACGACGACATGCATGAGCGTAGTTCCCAGAAAGAGCGAAGTTGACTCGCCGGATTCGACGGTTCTACCGGTTTGCAGCGTATTGCAAGCAACTTAGCAAAGTCTAAAGTTTCCAAAGCCGTTTACTGCGTACTGCATAGCATTGCACATGTGCGAGTTCGAGGATGCACTAAAGACGGACATCGACCATCATCCCACAACGCAATGCAAGATCCTGCAGCATAGAACTGACACCAGCAGGCCCCGTTCAACAGATGACGCAAGACATGCTGTCGCAGCAGCCATGTGCCGTTTCCCGGTCGATGTGATGCTGACGGATGAAGCTTGTGGTGGAGTTCAGCGAGAAATCAAGCTGCTACGCATCCTTGCATGACAAGGATGCTTCGGAGCTTTTTCGCCCGCCGAGACGGGAGTTTTGCAGAACTTTGCGGCTCCAGCGTGCGGATGGAGATGTATTCGTCGGCTGGGTTGGTGAGCATTCGCTCACCCCTGGCAAACTGGTGCTTTCCAAACCATTTGCAGAATGCTTGGGCTTGGAAGAAGGAGAGCAGGTTGATGCTTTCCCTCACCGAGCTCCCATTGCCACATCTGTCATGGTACAGCCGACTCTTGGTGAAATCAGCTAGGCTGAGCAGCATTCTGTAAAATATCATCGCATGGGCAGGATCCGCTCATCAGTAGTCTTTTTTTTTGATTTACTCTGCAGTTGGGACAGAGAGACACAGAGAAAGAGAGATACAGAGAGAGAGAGAGAGAGAGAGAGAGAGAGAGAGAGAGAGCGAGAGAGCAGACTTCACAGTGACTCGTACAAACATATCCGCCGCATTGCTATGTTCCCTAGCGCTGTTGTTTGTGTCGGCCCGAATTTCAGCACGATTGTGTGAGGGGCGAAAATCCGCCTCTGTTACCACCGTGTCTCTACAGCTCCTTCCGCTCCAAAATTAATGGGGCAGTGGGGTTGGGAGACTACTTCCCTAGGCCCCAGTCCCGCAGAAAGAAAGACAGAGCTAGAGGGAGCCGAGAGAGAGACAGAAAAGCAGAGACAGAAACTGCCTGCGTCGCCTGCCTTAACATGCAAGGGAGGTAGGGAGCGGCAAAGACTTGCGCCGTCGGAGCGGAAGTGTCGTGCATGCTTGGATGGACCTTGTGTCATCTGGTCACGATTGGGGTGAAACCTAATTTGGCACTGCCTCGATACCTTTCATTGCTGTGCCAGGTCTGGGTGCGTGAGGTGTTCAAGCGATTCAAGCCCCAAAACTCAGCAATGCCGTTGACGTTGTCGCTCTATACCAAGATCTGAGATCGTTCGACAAGCAGCAGGTGACCGGACATCTACTCTCTGCAAACACAGGCTTCATTACGGATGGAAGAAAAACAGGCATGTGTGTGTATAGATGTATATATATATATATATATACATATATATATACATATATGGTACGCCCCCCCAGGACCTACCTCCAAACCTGTCTGTCTACATATATGATACCACACGTCATTACCCACGCACACACATGCACACACACGCACACACATGCAACATGGACTAGGGTACACGAAGATTAGTGTATACGAACATGACTATACCAGAGGCCCGGCTGCATTAAATCCCGCATTAAAAAATTAAATTTAATGCAGCCCGGCCCGTGGAACCAAGAACCAAGATGCCCAGGAGTCTTGAATCTTGGATCTTGGTTCCATGGGCACCGGCCAAGCTGCATTAAAATCTGCATTAAAAAAAGAACTTTTAATGCAGCCCGGCCCGCGGAACCAAGAACCAAGAACCAAGATGCCCAGGAGTCTTGCATCTTGGATCTTGGTTCCGCGGGCACCGGCCGGGCTGCATTAAAATCTGTATAAAAATATTAAATTTTAATGCAGCCAGGCCCGTCCTGGGCATCTTGGTTCTTGGTTCTTGGTTCCACGGGCCGGGCTGCATTAAAACTTAGTTTCTTAATGCAGATTTTAATGCAGCCCGGCCGGTGCCCGTGGAACCAAGATTCAGGATTCAAGACTCATGGGCACCCACCTTGGTTCTTGGTTTCACGGGCTGAGCTGCATTAAATTTTAATGTTTTAATGCTGGTTTTAATGCAGACAGGCCGCTGGAAACCATGTAAATATTTACGAAACACATCGGTTTGCCATTTTATGTGCCACATGGCCACTCCTGCAGTGAAGATTAGCGAATGGATTGCTGTGCTTGACAGTTTGATCGCATGACAACAAATGTGTGATGACCCAAGCTGCAGCTAATCAAAAGCAAGTGATCTTGTCCTTCCAGCTCCAGTCCTGTCCTTATGAGCATAAAAAAATGATTACTGTACAGATAGGTTTAAATATGGAACATCAGTCGGGGCCGAAGATTTGCGAATGTCCAGCTGAGTTGTAGCTTATTGAGTAACGGGTTCCCATGGTGGACATCAGGAAGCTACTTGTAAACAAATATCCTTCAACGTCCACTACAGAATACCTCCTTATCCCTTCCAGGATTTCATAGAAAGTATTCAGGTCGTACCATACAGAGTTTATGAAGTAAGTACTTTGTATAATATACCTTATGGAATACCCTGTATCTCATGAAACGCTAAAGATATCCTATAGACTGCCCCAAAGAATACCTTGTTTATCTCCTATATACCCTATACGAGCCTTTTAGAATACCATCTGGAATACTTTACAGAATCCTTTATAAACGCCCTATGCATGATACCCCCGTATACCTTACACATGCCCTTGAGAACCCCCTTTGGGATACCCGACAAAACCCGTATAGATCAGGATTTACGTAAAGTAAATCAGAAGGAGCCCAAGCTTCTTGCAGCTTATTGAGCAACGGACATTTATGCCTGTAGAATACCTTACAGAATAGCCTTTTTTACAAACCGTAAAGAAATTCATGTAGAATACGGTAATACCTTATACAATGTTCCTCTATTCCTCGTACATCTTGTACACCCAAGATCTGAGAGTTCCCCAGTTGAATGTGGTGTATTTAGCAATGGATTCATATCAAGGAATTGCGGAATATAGGATCAAGAAATTAATTGGAAATCGATGCTTATCTAGCAAAGGATACATACAGAGAACAGAGCACTTCTGAAACACGTGCTGCACATACCCTATAGAATGCCTTTTAAACTACCTGTTCCACCGATTTACCCTACATACAGACATCTTATGTAATACCATCTGTAATATCCCGTTGATTACTTTGAAGAAGAACCCCTCTATTTGATACATCCAGTGTACCTTATGTATGCCATATAGAATACTTGCACAGTACCATTTAGATTACCTTTTGGAATCCATTATAGAAAACCCTAACAGTATCTTATAGATACGGGTGTTAAATATGGAAAGCCAGCCGGAGCCCAAGATCTGATAATTTCTAATTGAATTGCAGCTTCTGGGTTCTTATGAAGAATCAGGAACCAGGAAAACTAGCCTTACAGCTACCTTATAAAATACACTCTCTATGCACCTTAATGAATCTCGTAAAACATACACTATAGAATACCTTCCTACATATAGGCCGCAGAATGCCTTTTGTACAATACCTTATGGAGTGCCCTCTAAAATACCTTATAGAATGCCGTATAGAATACCATCCTTACAGAAGACCGCCTATGGAATATATCTTTTGTATACCCCAAATCTACCTCGTAGAATATCCTCCAGAAAACCGTTTAAGATACCGTTTACAAAAGCTTATTATATACCATATAGATCAAGGTTGAAAAAAGGAACATCAGGAGGAGCGCGCCGTTAAATAGCGTAGCATACAGAGGACAGTAGACAATCCTTCATGGTATTGCTTTGGTTCGAACGGTGTGGTGTCGTCGTAGACAGTGAAGACTACGCAGTATATTACAGTTTAGTTCGGAGTGGAGTCGTAACGTCGTCCAAACAGTACAAGAAGAGGCTTCGAGGTGGGTCCGGGTGGGTAGCATATACATATATATATATATATACACACACACACACGTACATACATACATGCATACATACATACGTACGTACGTACATACATGCATATATATATATATATATACATAATATATATATATATATATATGTACACACATACTTACACATGCAGTCATATATATATATATATATATATATATATCACAAGCATCAACATGACTGATCAACAAACAAAGCAATAGAAACACATGCTGCAACACAGAGGTACATAAATAGAGTTTTAACTACACAAAGTTAAAATGAGCATAAACTCAGAGAGCCAAACATCGGTCAGGATACGAATACAAATACAAATTCAAGCATGGACACGAACATACAAGCAAACAGAAAACTTGTTCCAAGTCTTTTCCAGTACAAACAGTATAAACTGAAGCATAAATGCGCTTAATCAAAAATCAACAGCAAATACATGAACACATGAACAAGCTAATGAATGAGAATGAACGAGCGCACGTTCAAAAATTTGCTGCTGAGCCACGATGCTTGTCGATTTTGCCGTTTGGGTTGGTTGACCTGGCTGCTGTTCGCGACATGACCCGGCAGAAAGCCTTGAGCGAACATGGCAGTGAGCATCTGGGGAAAGTTGATGTGTTTTGCACGTGTGCAAAGAGGGACAAGCAGTTCGTAGGACTCTGGTCGATCGCTACAGTCAGCAGACAGCCGAAGCTTCAGGTTCGAGTGTGTGCGAGGATTTAGCTTTTTGCTTTCCGTGCCGCCATGGTCGCAAGAGGCTCGCAGGAACCACCTCTGGCCCGCCGTGGTCGAGGTCGCAGAAGTTTCCGAGGAGGAGTTGATGGTCGTCTTCCCAAGGCTTCAGGACTCCGACATGGTGAAGATAAGGGCCTGTGCGCACGCGGCGTACATGATGTCCGATGACACCGGAGGCTCAGAGGCATTGACTTCGGCGGCACCCGCTTCGAGCACAGGTTCGGGACCAAGGCCGGAAACGTGGTCGCAGGGCGCCTGCTAAGCCGACAACCAGCCAGGTGCCAGTGAAGCCCATCCCGAAGGACCAGAAAGGCTTGGGCAAGGGTCGCGGAGCTCCGCCGCCTTCGAGAGGCCGTGGGTGGTTCCAGATGATGGTTCGCCACAACCAGCCCAGGTCGCGAAGCAGGTGAGATGGTTCGCAAAGGCCCGCTCAGACAGCTCAGCAGGTCGCCTCGCCCAAGGAGCCAGCAGCCCAGCAACCACCGATGTCGGGCGATCGCCCTGATGATGGCTCCTCCTTTGTCGCCGCCTCCCGCGCCAAAGCAGACGATCATCGACCGGGGCACTTTCAAGTTCGCAGGCAGCCGCCCCCGACCGGACCGAGAGTGTCCCCAAGGCCGCCAAAGCAAAAGGAAAGGCCGCCAGTTCGACGACAGTTCTGGCCGTTCTCTCTGCAGGTCCGCCTCCGATTGCGGACACGGGCGCTTCCTTGGGAGAAGATGCGACGAGGAGTTCGGCGCCGGCAAGCTCGCTGAACAGACCCCTTACGGTCGCGGGAATCTTGGCAGCGGCCCGCCTGGCCCGCAGAACCCGCCACACAGTTCTCAGTCGGGACCCCCAAGTAAACGCTTGGGGCCGCGCGTTCGCTACAAGCTCCCAGCTTCCAGGACACTGTCACAGCTTGCGGCCTTCGTTGTCCGGCAGTGTGAGGCATGCTTCCGCGAACCAGTCGGGTTTCGCAGATGGCACGAAAAGCATCTGTTTGATGCGTGCCATGCCCTCAGCACAAGCTGCTGAACCCGCGTGCGACGTAGGGCGCTAGTTCAGGGAGAGTTTCGTGTTCGCGTTCGCTGGTTTCCGTGGGGGGGCTTGGGGTGCGTTCAGGGTCTCTTCGGTGTTCTTTTTTTGGGCCGGGGGTGGCTTCGCTTCGGGTAGCTAGATGGTCAGGGCCTTACGTTCGCACCGCAAAGAGTAGAGCTGCACTTGGCAAACCACCCGCACCAAAGCCAAAAGAGTGGAGCGCAAGTGCTTCCGTCTGAGTTCGCACAGTCATGTCGTTGCAGTGTCGCATGTTCTTTGTCAGAAAACAAGTACAGAAGCAGTGTGGGGCAGTGCCTCCTCAAGCGTCTAAGTCGCGAGTTGACTGCGTAATGTGGCATATAGCGTGTGAGTCCGATCGAAGCCAGTTCGCGAGCTTGGTCGAAGTCCTGAAGGAAACTGGCAATTCCAGCTTCATCAGGGCCGTGAGTCAGCAGGGCATCAAGTCTGCGAGAGGTTTGGAGGACTGTTCGCGATCCAAGCTGCGAGAAGTCTTAAGCGATGTTGCACTGGATAGGTTGATGCAGTCCAGTCCGCCCAGACGTCCGAGTCGCGACGATCTACCGGAAGTTCACCCTTACGCTAGAGGTTCGCTGCAACGCATAGGCCTGGCCAGGGGCCCTGAGAACGATGTGGCCGAGTTCGACTTGGAGCAGGCGGATAGAGAGTTCCAGCCAGATAAGTTCGCTAAAACGTCCAGGGCTCCTCGCGAAAGCCGGTGGTTGACGTGGTTCACTATGGCAGCTCGAAGACAGATGCTGCGATTGCCAGTGACAGTGGCGCTGATCGATGGCATTGGCTCTTTGATGAAGGCGGGGGGATACAGGTCCGCGGCACAAGATTTTTCGGTCTCAAAGACAAAGCATGTGGAGGCCGGCTGGGAGTGGACGCAACAGTTAGACTTAGCCAGAGCTCAAGCAATCATCAGGTCCGTGACTCGTGGCATGGGACCGCCCGCATCGAAACTAGACCTCTTTATTTTCGACAACATCAAGGACGACTTCGAGCAATCCCTTGTTCGCGCATATACTGAACTCAGTGCCACTTCGACTGGAAGAGCCGGCCGCGACTGCCATTTCGGCAACATGTTCCTTCTTCGGGGGATAGAGATAGCCAATGTTGCAGGGGCAGTTGGGTTCGCCTTCCGGTGAGCAAAACAGATCTGGAAGGAAAAGGATGCGAGCGAAAACACGTGTGCATTTGCACACCGGCACGCGAAGAAGGGTGTCGGGACTCGACAAACCCAGCCACGATGTTCACCCTGCTGCAGAAATGTTCGTGCCGACGAGGCCGCCACCCGCTCTGTGTTTACCACGTGTCGGTGACCCTAGTGGTGAAGCGCAGGATGCAGGGGTCGTACGACCCGAGGCACCTTCTGTTCGGGAAAGGCCCGTCTCCTGCGAGCTCGCGCCAGTTGACACAGCTGGCACAATCGTGTGCTTTCGTTTTGCAGCGTGAGACTTTGTCAGATTGGAGCACAGCTGCGATGGACAAGTGGCCGCAACACTGTTTCCGAGTTGCAGGTTCGCAACTATTCGCTAATGCTGAAATCAGTCTACCCATCATCCAGGTTTTGGGCCGTTGAAACTCGATGGCCATGTCCAGGACGCCCCCTATGTGCCGAGTCGAACGTCACAGCGACTGAGGTTTTCATTGGCAGGTGCAACGGCGGCTTCCTCAGCTTCGCCAGTGCAACCGGGTGCAGTTTCGCATGCCGAGATGGAGTCAATGGTCCGCAGAGTAGTTGCCGAGTGCTGGCAGAGTCGTGCATAATACCAGGACAAAGTGCGCTCATAAGCCGTGCGAGAATGAACAGGCTCTGCAAAGTTTCGACTGGGTCTCTCTATGCGGGCGCTGGTTTCACGGTTCGTGCAATCACAAGAGGCATGTCGAGGTTTTGCCGGGGGCCCCAAGTGCGCAAAGTGCTTTCCAGAAGTGCCCGCAGGGCAGGTACCTGCTCGAGCGCCAGCAGAGCAGCTCAGGTCGCCCGCAGCCTTAGAATCGGCCGACTCCAGCAGCAGCAGTTCGTGACATGGCGGTGTCGGAGTGACGGTGCCAAAACTCGAGGACTTGGCAGCCGCGTCGGGCCTCGACAAGCAGGTCCTCGTGTTCCTGCGCGACAAAGGGGTCACCAACTCAGGCGTGCTGTTCCACCTGTTCGAGGACAGATGGAGAATCCCGACAACACTGGCCCCGCTTCGCACCGGAGTCAAGATCCGCACCGACGAACTGAAGCTCGATGATGTGGGCACCGACGTCGCGGCCGCGGTCCTTGAGCACATGATCGACGAGGTCGCAGCGATCAGGGCCAGGCAGATGACAGCGGCGTCTCCGGCCCCCGTCTCTTCGTCATCCCCAGCAACAGGGGCAGCCACAATTGCGGAACAACAAAAAGCCCCAGATCAGTTACCCAAGGGCTACTGGGCGAAGAGAGTCAAAGAGTTCGAGTCGGAGCAGATCGAGGGTCGCAACCGCAGCTTTCCGGTGCATCTGCTGGTTGGAGCAGAAGAAACGCTTGCGAGAATGGTGTACGAGAAGGAGGCCTCCCATCTGTTCAGCCCCGTAAAGTTGGGCGAGATTATATCGGTTCGCAACTTCACGCCGAGCAGGCATGGGCTAAGTCCGACGACCGGTTCTCCGATTCGTTGAGATTGGACGCCTCCGGTTCCCTGGTTCGCAGAGACAAGAAAATCCCGGAGCCCCAGAAGGCCCTTGCGATGCTTTCGAATCTGTTCGTTGGGCGATGGTCTTCGCAAGGTGTGGAGAAGAATTCAATTCGTGATCGAGATATACCACAAATACGAGAGTATTATCGAAAAACATCATGGGACCTCGCAATGCACATGCGTGCCGCGGGCTCTTTCCAGGAGGGCGTCGAGAAGATCATCACGAGCACCGAGCGGCGTGACGCATTGGCCTGCTGGATGCCACCCGACGGAAAAGGCAAGGGCAAGGACCCCAACGGCAAGGGCAAGTCCAAGACTTCGGCAACTCCGGAAAGGGGAAATTTCGCAGCACGGCCCCGTAAGTGTCGCAGAACCAGCCTCGGCCCGGATGCAGACTGTTCGCAGCAGGTTTTTGCAAGTTTGGCAGGTTGTGCAAAGTTTAGCCACGTTCAGCCACAGACAACGCCGACGCAGCAGGCGCCAGGTGCACAGGCGCAGGCCTAGGGACAACGCGGGGGCCCGATGCCCGAGATCAGGCGACGCCCAACACGACTGTACTCGCGAGCCAAGTGTTTCCACCCGAGCCTCCACTCAATTTTTCCCTACTCCCATTTTCGGTTGGTAGCGTGCAGCGCCGCCCAGGCCCCGTCGATTCAGAAGTCGTGGGGAACGGAGCGGGAAGCTTGCCACGACCCGTCATCCCCCCTCGGTTCGGTTTGGTCCCCGCTGATCGTTCAGTAGGACCGAGCGAAACCAAGGCCGCAAGAGAAGCCTAGGCAAGTTGAGGTTCCAGCTGCCTCACTCCAGCAAGCCGCAGACCGTGCAATCACACACGTGTGATACTCCCATTGCTCTGTTGTCGTTCTTCGACGGCATTGGGAGCGCGCGTCAGTCGATGATTGACTTGCAGATCGAGCCGATAGTGTCTTGGTCGTGGGAGTTGGACCCAGAGTGCAATCAGGTGGTTGGACAAAGACATCCCAAGACGGTGCTTCAAGGCGATGCGCTGTCCGCAGACCCGCAGAAGGCGGTGGCAGCTCTACAAGAGCAATGCCCACCAGGAACGTTCGTGACCGTCGCATGCGCTCCTCCATGCCCGGATTTTTCCCGGATCAAGGGCGCCGCGGCCAGCACACAAGGTTGTGAGGGACAGAAGTTCGTCCAATAGATCGAAGGATGGTGGCATAGCTTCCGAAAGATCTGCCCGTTCAAATTCGCTTTGCTGCTCGAGAACGTGACGATGTCGAAGGAGACACAAGGTACGCTGGATTGGCTCTTGGACATCAAGTCGTTCGTGTGCGATGCAGCTTCTTTCGTTCGGGCTGATCAGCCGCCCTCGATTGTGGTGGTCGACACACATCACGCCTCCTGACGAGGGGGCCGTTGCAGCGCCAGTGAATGCATCTGGCATGGCCCGTTGGCGCAAACGGAATGCACTCGTGCCGAGGGACGAGGTACGACAGTGTATGCTAGCGCTAGTATCCCTTTGGGAAACATCGAAGGTGTTTCGCTAGAAAACGTCGAAGGGGTTTTCCTCTGAAGCTAAACAGAACGAAGCTTGTCTGTTTGCTAGAGTGACTGCACATGGCCGGTGAAGCAGCGCTACGCCGTGGCCATTGTGCTGAAAGGCCCCCAGCTATTGGGGGGCAAATTTCGAGTGGGGGTAGGAAGGGGAACAGGGCTAATTAGCCCTGCTTTAGGGTGCGCTGCCATGTCGGACAGCGACGCTACCCTGGCGCCAACCACGCCAGATGGTGCAGCAGCTACGGCCGCTGACTGCGCTACTGTGGTTCGGGATTCCCCGCCCCTGCTAAGTGCTTCGTGTCCCACCGAGGTCCCCACGCTAGGGGAGGACGATACCGCGGGGGCTCCTTCCGGGGAGGTACCCTCGTGGGTCCCGCAGACCCCAGCTAGCGACCTCTTCGAGGGCTGGGAGATGGAGGCAGAGCTAGAGGCGCAGGCTACGGTCCAACAGGAACGTAGGCGCACGCTAGACAGGGCCTACCGGCATCTCTCCAGCCAGGGGTTTGGGGTCTTGGAGCTAGCAGTGGTGGATCTAGACGACGCGGAGGATGTCGCCAAGCAGCTAGCTCGAGAGCTAGGTATTCCATACCAGCCGTGGCTATGGGATGGCGTCTACTGTTGGCTGCAGGAAGCGCGACAGGAAGCTACGGTCTATCAGAGGGTGCACGGCTACTTCCAGGATGATATCACCTGGAGAGCCCGGATGCCACCGCTACCTGCACCAAGGGAAGAGGTCGAAGACGCGGTGCATCAGCCACCGGTGCCGCTAAGACCTCCCCCCGGGGAGCGGAATCGAAAGACGCTACAGCCCAGCACGATCAGTGCGGCTAGAGAGGAGCGACTGCCAGAGGTTTTTGGCAAGGAAGCTCCGTGAAAAGCTGCTAGAGATACACGCCCCTGTTCTCGCTAAGCTGCACGGGAGTCTGGACCCCGTGAGGGCAGCTATGTTGCTTCCGGGGAAGACCCGGGCTTCTACTTTGAAGCGCTACCTGAGCTACTACAGGCAGTGGCGCCAATGGCTCCACGCAGCTAAGCTCAGGCCGCCCCCGGGCACCCCCGCGGACCTGGTGGATTACCTCCTCGCTAGGAGTGATGAACCCTGCGGCCGTTCGGTCCCTGAAGCTATTCTTAAAGCTATCTCCTGGATGGAGAAGGTGGCCGATTTTCCGGTGGAGCTAAGGACCACCTTTGGTCGCCTGGTCTGGGCCGCTAAGGACAGCATAGTGGAGCAGCTAGCGGAGGGAGCCCCCTTGATCAAGAGAGCACCCCGCTACCCCGTCTACATGCTGGTGCAGCTAGAGCTCGTGGTCACCAACCCCGCTCTGGCAGCAGGCTGGCGGATCTGGGCCTGGGCTAAGTTGGTCAAGGTCTGGGCCACGCTAAGATGGTCGGACCTTCAGGCTATCCTGCCGGCCGAGCTATTGATGGTGGAGGGGCGACTCACCACCATCCTCCGGAAGACCAAGACTTCCGGCGCTACGAGGAGGGTCAAGGAGCTACCGGTCGTGGTGTCAGAGCACGCCTTTCTGGTCGCTAAGAGCTGGCTGGTGACCGGCTTTGACCTCCTCAAGGCCCACGCTAATTACGCCCGGGATTACCTCATGCCGCGGCTGGGCCGGGCGGGGCAACTGGAGAAGAAGATGGCTACCTATGCGGACGCTATGGTGGCAACCGCGGGGCTGCTAGCTATCATGGGCTACCCACGGGAGGTCCAGGGCTATTGGACGGAGCACAGTGAGCGCTCGGTGCTACCAACAGGTTTGGCGCTAAAGGAGATCCCCCCGCAAGACAAGGATCTGCTAGGGCGTTGGAAACCCGAGGGGTCCGACGTGTACGCTAGATCTTTTGCGGGTAGGGTGTCCCGTCTCCAAGCTCTCTTCGCTAAGACAGCTAGGAGGGACGACCGCTACGAGGCGCTCGACGAGCGTGAAATCGCCGCGGACCTCGAGCCCTGGCTGGAAGAAAGGGCCAAGCTAACCCACAGCCAGGCTATCCATATGGCGGCGAGGCTGCGGAAGATCTGGATGGAGGGCCTGCTAGGAGTCCCGACCGAGGCGGAAGAGCTAGCGCGAACGGCCCGCTAAGAAGCAGGCCAGGGTTCCCGACCGCAGCCAGGGCAGCTATGTAATCGTAGAGGTCCCAGGTGCCATTTTCCGCCTGCACAAAAGCGGGCGCTACAGGTTGTTGGATGGGGAAGCGACGTGCTTTCCGCAACGCTAGGATTCTTGATTCGGTTCCGGAGCCGCACGAGTACACACATGTGTGCAAGCTATGCTGGCCGAACCAAGGGGCTATCTCCGAAGGAGACGCTAGCGAAGGATCGCTCGCTAACTCGGAAGATGACGAGGCCCCAGAGGATCACGCACCGGGGTCAGCTAGCAGTCATCCTTGAGCGCAGGGCGTGCTAAGCCGCCGAACTCGCACTCGCACCAAGGCTAGAAAGGCTGCTAGGTCGGAACCCACTGTTCTCCCCTCTCTGCCTCTCTCTCTCTCTCTCTCTCTCTCTCTCTCTCTCTCTCTCTCTCTCTCTCTCTCTCTCTCTCTCTCTCTCTCTCTCTCTCTCTCTCTCTCTCTCTCTCTCTCTCTCTCTCTCTCTCTCTCTTCCTCCCTTGCGGAACGCCGCTAGACTTTAAAGGGGGTGTGCTTGGGGGGGGGGGGGGGGCCTTCGGGCGTCAGGGGGGGGGGGGGGGCGAGCGGGAGAAAGAAGAGAGTGGAGGGAACCACGTTCTTGCTACATGTCACTTGCTGTGTGCCTGTGTTGCGCTTTCGTGTTCCGCTAGTGTCTTGCAGGAGGAGCAAGGAGCGAAGGCAGGCGCTAGGAAACCGGGGCCGGGAGACCCCTCTTCTGGCCACCCAGGGAACACAGGAGCTAGGAGAGGAGCCAGTGCTTGCGCTAGGTCCGTCCTGCAGGAAGGAGCTAAGGAGCGAAGGAAGGCGCTACGAAACGTGCGGGCTTTACACCCGCGAGGCAACAGGGCTACGGGTAGCCTTCGGCTTCGCTACCTTGGGGTAGCTAGATTTTCTTTAGCCGTTTCACCCGATCCGTGCCTTGGGCGCCGCTATGGGAGGAGGATGCCAGAGCTACATCGCCCAAGGGCGCAGGGCCGAGGAGCCCGCTACTGGCGACTACCTGCCAGAGACCCTCCGTGGTCTGCGGAGGGCGCTAAGGTTCCGACCATCGGAGTGCACCGATGGGCTGCACCGCTACCTCGACAAGCCTCTGCTACAGGAGCTGAGCGCAATGTCGCATGAGGCGATCGAAAAGCTAGACAAGGAGGCCCCGCCCAGGAAGTGGCTAGGGGCCGGGGTCCGCCAACAGAGCCCCACTAACATGATGGAGCGTCGAGTTCTGTCCGCTACGAGCTGGGCCGACCTGTCCCAGGACGATATCGCTAGTTTGGATGACGCTATGTCAGCGGGCCTTACGCAGAGGTTCGCCGCTGCAGAAGCCGCTGCTGCTGCAGCAAAGGCCCAGCGCGCGGCAAAGGCCAAGGCCCGCAAGGAGGCGGAGGCCATAGCCGCTAGGCTCGCGCTAGAGAAAAAGGCCGAGCACGACCAGAGAGTCGCAGCGGCCGCGCTAGAGCAAAAGCGAAAGGAGGCCGCGGAGCGGCTCGCTAAGGAGGAGCAGGCCGCCGAGCTGGAGTACCAGCAGGCGGTGGCCGCTAGCAAAGCCTCCCTGCAGGCCGCAGAGGAGGCCGCTACCAGGGACGCCACCGCTACCAGCAGTACCGATCCTGCCCCGGTGGCCGCTACTGCCGCCGCCACCGCGGCACCTGGCCGTGGCCGAGGCGAGAGGGGCAGGGGAAAGGGCCAGCCGGCCGCTACAATCAATGTGTTCGACTACACGTGGAACACGCTATTCGAGGACCCGGGCCGCTACCTGGCGAGCTCCAGCAGGACCGCGCTATCGACCAGGCAGGGGGCATGCCCGATAACGTCCGGGACGCTAAGGGCACACCCGTGAGTGTGGCGCTAAAGGGGCGAGCCAGGCCCCCCCGGGGGCCCACGCTAACAGCCTTCCCAAAGGGAAGGGCTACTGGTACCTCGAGCTCTCGTGGTCCGCTATTGACCGCTAGGTTCCTGGGACCAGCGCTACGAGAAGGGGAAGGGCAAGGGGCCCAACCCCCGCTACGGCAAGGGTGCTGACAACACGCTAGTGAAGAACGCTATCTACAGTGGAGAGCACCTCTACTCGCTAGGCCGGGAAGACGTGGCTGCGAGGTCTGTTCGCTAAGAGCCTGCAACAGGCGGATGTGGTTCAAGTGCGACGACCACGCTACTCACTGCTGTGATGGGTGCAAGCAGTGGAGCCGCGGGGAGGACTGGGGCGGCCGCTAAAAAGGGCAGCCCCTGCCTCACTACAGGCCCCGGCCTCGCTACCTGCACCCGCTACTTTTGTCTTTGCACGCGGCTACCCTTGCAGCGCCCTCTGCTGCCGACCGCTAGCCGCAGCAAAAGTCAGGGTCGTCCCTTGCTACAGTTGCCAGTGTGTGCACGCTACAGTCATGCTACACACATGTCGGCAGCCAGAAAGAAGGGAAGGCTAGAGCGAGAGAGTGTCGAGAGTACTGGGGGGGGGGGCCGGGGTCGGTGGGGCTGCTAGGGCCGCTCTCTGCTGCAGCGCCCCCTTTCAGCGAAAGCTATCGACTGGCACTCCCCGCACACACTCTCACGCTAGGAGCTTTTCCCCAATGTGCTAGCAGGAATTATGCCTGTCCGGGGCTAACCGGGTCCTTTCCGTTATGGAACCGGGTCCTAGGATTTATGTTGCTGACATGAGTGACATGTAAGAACACGTGTATATAGGACATGTGTTGCTGACATGATGGACATGTAAGAAAACGTGTA